GTCTGTCTCTGTTCATAGTCCCCCCGAAAGCTAGAAACCAACATGTCACTTTGCAGATCAGTCAGATTCATGAATTTCACGGTACCAATATTATCTACTCCACCAATATTGTTAATCAGCAGGGACAGATGGGAAATTGAGTCAAGTGAAAGCTGCTTGAACCTCACACCAAGCCCATTTAAATTGGCTTTTGCTGAAACAGCTAGTTGTGATGGTTCAGTAAGCTTTGAGAATTTCAAAATGTTTGAGATTGATGATGAATCCATGAAAGGAGAATCAGTACCCCAGATTGATAGACAAGCAATCATGAGTAGTACCAGCAGCAGCGAAACAGACTTCAATCTTGAGAAGAACCAAGGCCTTGCTTTCCCTGTATCATCGACAATCCCATCAGACATATGACAACTATCAGGTGGACTGAAGGTTTTTGCTTCAGCTACTCCTTCTGCAATTCCTTCACACATGTCTTGGCAAATGGGTCCGTTAGAGGTTTTTGGTTCCTCTTTTTCTTCAATAATCCCCATGAATGAGTCTTCGGAAATGGGGTCACCGATGGTTGACACCTCATAAACATGAACCCCTTCTTCCTCTGCTTCGGGTACCACATTCTCGACAGAATAATCCTCTGAATGCTTTTGGGATTCTTCAGAACATGAGCCCTCTGTTCCGTCATTGTCTGAATAGCTTTCAGAAGCCTCAAGCAAAAAGCTATCATCAAGCCTCTTTGCCTCACCTAAATCAAGCCCCTTTTCTTTATTGAGAAGAACTTCAATTCTTGGATTAGGTTTATAATGCAGAAACTGAGGCCTAGGAGAAAGATAATTTGTTTTTGGATCATAAGGGGGAAGTGATGGATCAGCATCTAAAGGAGCTATGATAGGTGAAATAGGAAAACAAGAAGGCATGTTCTTGGAGCTTGAATTAACTGTTACTGTCTCTGGCTTTACCTCTGTTGCAGTCTCACTGTCTGAATGCACTTCCAAAAATGTTACTCTTTTTGATGCCTTGGAAGATTGAGGGCCTTCAACAACAACACGCTTTCCTTCACCATTTTGGTGATCTACAGCCAAATCTTCCTTATTTTCTGAAGAATTTCCAGAAAAGAATATGGCTTTCCCTTCAGACAACGAGATTGAAGTCCGAAGAGGGTCATTTCGCTCCACCAAAATCTTCTTTCTAGGTGAAGGAGTAATCTTTGAAGCTGCAGAAATAGTTGGAGACATGAAATTTTTGGACCCATTTGCCGGTGACTTCACTACTTTTACTGGCTTCAAGTTCTGATCTTTCTCATTCTCCTTCTCATCACAGCCGAAAGAATTTCTTCTTCCAAATCCTACAAATTTTTTTACCCAAGGGAATCAAAAAATCATATTTGTTACCCACTAACAAAAACTACAAGAAACTCAATATGCAAGTCAAATAGAATAATTACCTGCAGGACTGTTGGCAGGAGTGACTGGGTTAAGGCTTCTGGGATTGGTCAGAACTGAAGGTCTGGCAACATGGTTGCCACTAAAACTCCTCCGGGCTGCAGCATTAGAATCTGATGAATTTCTTGAATGAGAAGCAGTGGGTCTTGAAGAAAGTGGGGAAGGGGATCTGCTGTTTGAAGGAACCGCCATTACCAGAATCAAATTACTTCTTGATGCGTACTTTCGTGCAAATTTGCGCGCGTTATAGAACAAGAATAAGGGGAAGATGAGAACGGAGGGTTTGGAAAGAGAGAACTGGAAATGGTAAGGAGATCACTGAAAGCAAAAATGGTGATTTTGTGAGAATCCTGAATTCTTGAATTGATTTGATGGTGATGATAATTGAATTGCGATGAAAATGGTAACGGCTAGTTTCCCAAAATAACGGCGGTGAGTTTTTAAATGGTTGCTTTTTGACCGTTGCGGTGGGAGGGGCGAAAAGATTATAGCCGTTGGATTGAATGTTTGGAGTAGGAATCTCGGAGGAAGATTTCAACCTTTTCTCTTTCTTTTTTGTTGTTTTTGCTTTTGTTTAGTTTTGGTTTTTTGTTTTTCTGACATCATTTTCGTGTGTTTGTGTGTGCGCGCGCACGCATGTGTATTACTAGGAACATATTATTTGGGAGTGAGAATTACTTTACATTGGTTGACTCTGAATCCCCAATTACTTTACGCATTGTGCTTACGTTGTTGAAAGAAATTAAAAGAGAGATTTAATTTGTAAAAAATTAAAAAAATTGTACCAACATAATTAAAAGCTAAAATTTGTCTAACAATAGTTCAAAGTATAACAAAATATATAAATCATTTAAGAACTGCATTTTTATGGAAGATGGATCTTGAAATAATAATAGAAAATAAATGATGTATGGATAGAAATAAATATAATCACATGTTTTATTTGATTTCAAAATAAAATATTTACAAACATTATACATTCTATTTGATAATATTGTACAAAGGTGCGAATATTTTTTACACCAATCAACTTTTAGTATGAAAATCAATATTGGTGATTTAATTAATTCTATTGAATTTTGTGAAGTTCATACTACAAAAAAATGTTCAGCGAGACTTGTATTCCTTAGAAGTGAATTTGCTGAACCTTTTAAAATATTTCAGTGGGATCACTATGGTGTAGAATTCGTTTTATGATCAATTATTTTTTTCTTTGTAATCTTACGAGTTTGAAATTGAGATGCCATTGAAATCAATGATGGAACTAAGAGGGGCTAATAGGCAGCTAAAATACTTTACATTGGTTGACTCCGAGTTCACAATTACTTTACATTGGCAAAATCATACTTTAGAATCTAGTATTGATGGCCTTAAATATTGGCTCCGTTGGACACCCGCATTTTTACTATACAGATTTTTTAAATAATTTTATCTACAGTTATATTTATAAACACCACAAATTTTTAAAATATACATCCTAAAACACCAAGAAACATATACTCATTTTCCAATTCTATCACCATCCTCCCACATCAATTCTCTGCTTCCACTATCGTCGCCACCTCACCTTCCCCTCTTTCCTTTTTTTTTTAATCATTTCCCTCTCCTCTCCCCTGCCCCTTTCTCCTCCAAACCCCCTTCCCCCACGACCCCCTTTCCCCCCTCTTCCTTACCCCACCCCTTCCCTTACTCTGCGACATTTGGTTGCGACCAATGTTTTAAAACTCGAACCGTTAATTGAACCGGTGAGGTGTTCGGGTCAAGATTCAACCAGTCGGACCGGTTCAACCCTGGTTCAATAATTTTTTAAAAAATAATTTATATAAATATATATATGCACAAAATAAGACATGCAATGGACTCATTTAAAACTTTATATGCTAAAAAGTTTAATATTTTCGAATAACTCGGATTTTTAAAAATAAATTTTTTAAATTATAAGTTGAAACAAATAAATTTCATCTTAATCTCAATATATTTACCAAAAAATAATCTTAAATTCAATCCAAAATATACCACAATATTTTGAAATTGTACAAAATTCACGTCTATGGGAATTTAGATATTGTGAGTTTAAATTTTAATTTATGTTTTTGAAACTTAGAAATTGCAATTTAAAAAAAAAGAAGAAGTTTGGAGTTTAAAGGAAGTCAGGAGAATCAAAAATAGAAATGCAAACTTGATAAGAAACAAAAAAGAGATAAAAGTGAATGGTTGTGACATTTAATAATTAGTCTTTAGGGTTTAAGAAAAATAATTCTTTTTTTAATTTTTTCAATTTAATGGACAAAAATAAAATTAAAAGATGGAAGAAAACATCAATAAATTAAAACTAAAAAGGTTTGATTAAAAAGGGAGTGACAAAAGAAAAGAGGAGAAAGAGAGTTAAATATTAGAAAGAAAGAGTCATAAGAGAATGAGATTTTGTAGAGAAAACGGAAAAAAGAAAGATGGATATTTGTTTTATTTAAATGAGTTATCATAAAAAACTAATCGGATGCAATGGTACAATGGTTACTACATTGGTCTTTCACCACAAGGGTCCTTAGTTCGATCCTTGGTAGTTGTATTTTGCAAAACTTAAAAAAATATTAAGAGAAAAGTAAAAAAACCGGATCCTTGGTAGTTGTATTTTGCAAAACTTAAAAAAATATTAAGAGAAAAGTTAAAAAACCGGAAACCACCGGTTCAGCAGTTCTGACGGGTTTGACCAGTTTTCTGACAAAGTCAACTGTAGCATAGAACTGGACCGGTGCCATGATGCCATCATTTTTATATAGAACCGATGCCATGGTGCCATAGAACCGGTCGAACCGGCTAGTCCGGTCCGATTTTTAAAACATTAGTTGCGACATCATTTTATTTCACTTGTAGTGTCAAAGTAGGTTAAGTATATACTCTTCTGTACAGAGAGAGAGAGAGAGAGAGAGAGAGAATATCATAAATTACATCATATATCTCTTACACGATCTAAAAGTAATTAAGTAATTAAGAATTCATTTTGGACATCAAATATCCCTTACACGATCTAAAAGTCACTGTGAACAACTTAAATTAAGTAGACAGAAAATACAGCATAAACTTGATTAAGAAATTGTTGCAAGGTCTTTCTTTTTTGATAATTTGTTGCAAGGTCTTTCAAGAGGTGAAAAAAGAAGCATTAAAAAGCTAGTGACTAAGACCAATAAGAATAGGGTTATAAATGCAACAATACATTAACGGTTGACATCGATAACTAACAATTGGGCTATCTGGCCATATATACACTTCTAGCAACGGGTTGCCCCACAACCAAATGAAGTGCTTCAGATACTGAGCAAGGAAAGCTCGAATCCCCTTCTCACTTCTCCATTTTTCTCCAAAATACCAACAAAAAGGCCCTTTTCCTACAACTTTTATTAATAATTTAGCCAAGTTTTAGACATCCACCTAAGACGCCTGTAAGAGCAACGGGATTTTTCTGGCCCTCTTGGCAAAGTACAAACGCTCCCTACATGCTCAATTTTGCTCAGCTAAAAATGAAAACCAGCACGCCTAAGCCAACAGTTAAAAGGACGAGGGAAATTGATAGTTCAGGAAACGATCTGAAACAATGTTATCAAATTAAGGGAGCACGTAGTCCAGCTAATAGTTCGGGAAACAAATTGAAACAAAGGGTTAACTGGGATTGCCCTGCTGCCGATCTCAATTAATTAACCAAATTACAGACCTGTTCTTGTTTGCATTGTGGACCTAACTTTTTGTGGTTTTCTTCTATGTATGAAAGGTCCCTTTCGAAAATGACAAGAATTTAACGCATAAAACGATTCCTGAAAATACACAGATATAATAACAATCAATAATCCTCCAAAATGACAAAATGGTGTGTTTTTCAAGAGTTTGTATAAAATTTTACTACAGAATTTTTGAAAGATTGTTGTAAAATTTTGCCACCCTCCCTATGCCACCAACCCCGACCACCACCCCTCTCCTTTCTCCTCTCCACAACCACCACCTCTGGCACCTACTACCACTACTTCCACACTCACAGCCAAACTCCTCCCTCCTTGCTTCTTCACCCACCCTACCACCTCTCACTTGTCACTGCCCACTGCTGCTACCCCCCTCTACCTTACCCTTCTCCTGGGGTGGGGGGCACAAGGAAGGGGGGAAGGGGGGAAGGAGGGAGGAGAAGAGAGAGCAGAAGGAGAGGAAGGAAGGAGCAGGGGAGAAAAGGAAGGGGGTGAGAGGGGCAGTAGGGAAGGAGAGAGAAGAAGAGAGGAGGCAGAGGGTGGCACTGGCGGGTGAGGAAGCAGCAATGATGGGGAGGGTGGCGGTGCTGATAGAATGGAGTAGGTGTTTTTTTTTTAACTGTATGTTTTGTGTTAAAAGGTATGAAAAATTTGTGGGTATTTTTGGAGGGTTAGTGTGGATGAAATTGTAAAGAAAATTTGTCTTTCAAAAACAGAGGTGCCAAACAGAGCCATATATATCTATTTACTGACAAGATGGTTGTGCGTTTGATCAAAATCGATCTCTCAAGGCTAGAATGGCACAAAGCCTTGGGGACAAGGGCATGAGAACTACGTCGCATGAAATGAGAGATCTTCTAATTGTTGTGTATCCACCGGTGAAGGTGCACGAGTCAACGCGCACTGTGCAGTTGTTGTCTTTGGGAAAGCAATGACATCCCTGATCGAATGACTGCCTGCCAACAGCATGACCATTCTATCTAACCCATAAGCTATCCCTCCTGTGCAACAAATATATCAATCAATAACCAAAGTTCAAAAGCAGACTGGGGAAATGGAGGAGGCTACTGGCTTAGTCCAAGCAAGAAATCTAAAAATTATGTTTGTCAAACCAGCACTCGATACTCAGCATCCAAGCAGAAACCTGCTCTACAGCCGTGAACACACTAGAGCTATCTGTCCTTAACAACCATATACACCAATCATGTGACTTCAAACTCGCTCTGATGCTAATCTAAATTATTTAAATGATTCCCTACATAATCTTCTTAACTATCACTGCATCAAGCAATACAATGAAACATTACCTTGTAGCATATACCAAAAAGCTCCACAAATATAATTTGAGTGCAATCAATTTTCTAAACTTGTAAAATTAATAAGCTTTTTTGCATGTGGCTGATGTTTCTCATTCAATAAATGAGACACACAAAAGCTTCACAAAAAGTTCTCTTGCGACCCAGCATTCAAGACATGGTCTGGTACACATATGAACAAAATATCAACTAATCAAACTTTTATATGCACATTTTCAGGGAAACAAAAAGGAAAAGAAGAATGATCTATTAACCCCAAAGACTCCAAAAACAAGGTAAATTTAATATAAATTGGGCCAGAGTTGGCCCTTCTATCTTCTATTGGCAATAAGCAGCAGTTCCACTTGACATGGATTGGAGGTTTATTTATTCTCCAAGGAAGAAACATATCTTTCAGTGCAATGCAACAAGAAGAGTAATCATGAACTATAAGAAATGTGTAGTAGGATGTTTCGAATTAACTGAGTAAATGTATTCCTTGGGCAAGAAAATGTCCCATACCATGTGGAGGAGCACCCAGATCTAGAGCTTCCAAGAGATAGCCAAACTTGGCTTCAGCCTGCAGACCAAAAAAGAATGTATGAAAATACGCAACAGTGCAAACGTTGCTCTATCATGGCAATCAGAAATAGTTTGTAAGCTTTCAATAACTTCCAATTCACGGCAAAATTTCTTAACTCAGTTATTGCTTTCCTTCTTCCAATGTATTTAACTCAAAATACGAACACAAAAAAGGCAATTGACAGTCCCTTGATCATTAAAAGGAAAATAAAACTGGAAGATTAAGGATAAAGGGTGGTCTGAGAAAAGTTTTCTACTAACAAAGTTCAATATTCACACACATAATTGAAGGACTCGAAATGCAAACTATATACCCATCTCAATATGAAATACTGCAATCCATGTTTTCAGTAATTATTTAGAAGCACGCTCTTGCCTATACCAGAGAAATGGAACACACTGAATATTTGACCCTTCAAAGCTATAAGTGCTGACCACATACATAAGCAAACAGTCAAATGTTTTAGACCCAAAATAGCATGACAAGGATTTCCTCAGGCCTTACCTGTTCACGCGAAATGCCAATGATTTCCAAGACCTGTTCTTGGACGTCACGCTTGTAGATTCTCAAACTTCCTCCACCAATCTGCCAGAGAAGTGAAAGATTCCATTATACTTAAATTTATACATGCATACCTAATCTTGCAAAGACAAAAAACAAGATGTATGTACCTCCACACCATTGTATACCATGTCATAAGCCAAAGCACGAGCAGAGAACAAATCCTTCACATCTTCTGGGTTAGGGGCAGTGAAAGGATGATGCAAGGCCTGAAAAACAACTACAATTTAACTTAAACCAGAAGAGATACAAGAAAGGAAGGATCAAATTTTAAGCATATAATCTCAAATTTTGTCAGCATAATTTGATCTTAACCGTGATGGTTATTATATTAAAAACTACCCTTATATTTCTTTCCACAATAGCTTGCATTAATCCCATATTAAGTCATTTCTAAAATCTAACTTAAACGTTTTACAAAACCTAGCTTACAGAAAAATCAGCTAATACTGAAATTACTAGTACAAGTCAAAATACATCCTCAGAATGCAGAATCCACTTTACCACCATACATAATGAAGAGGTCAATTCTACAGACAAGAATAGTGAGGTGGAAACAACACTATTACCTACTTCTTCAAGAAAAATACATCATAAACCTAAATAAGAGAATAGTACAAAAACTATAATCATAGCACCAACCTCAAGCCTCTGTTCAGCATCATTCCACTCAAACATAGGAAAATCAGTCACCCAAAGGATTGAGGGCCTGGACTAAATGACACCAAATAGACAAAGTGAGATGTGTAAAAATAATTAATCCAAGTTTCCTTTCCTTTTTCTTTTAAATCCAATAGTATATTGCATGAAATTAAAAGCTTTAAGCAGTAAACTTACAGGATCAATCAAGCCCAAATCATGGGCTACATACAACCTCAGCCTATCTAAAGTTTTATTTACTGATGCAGGCTGACCCACTGCAAACAAGATGAGATCACCTGATCCCGCAGATAAGTGTTTGAGTAACTTGTCCTTCTTTGTGTGGTCCAAGCATGATACCAGTGGGGAAATCCCTTCAATTGCCCCTAAAAGATATACATCAAGCACTAAGAACAATATAATCTACAAAATGCGATGAAATGTGCAAACAATCACAAACATCACTCTCACCATCTTCTAACACCTTTAAGAAAGGCAAACCCTTTGCTCCAGATTTAATAGCTTCATTGTAAATATCACCTTTCTTCAAAGCAGTATTTGAGTATGTCTTTCCTCCTGAAGGGACACACAAGGCTTTAACAATTCCCCCACTCTTCAAGGTATCTGCAAATGCCTTGAAGGAGGAATCTGAAAATATCTCAGATACCTGCATGCCAAGAAAAAGTTGCTGCCTAAGACCATTAGGTAATCACTCCAAAAAACAAAAAATAGATTTAAGATTTCATAATATAGTATCATCTATGGTACCAAAAGAATGACAACCTGTCTCCCCCCCCCCCCTCTCCCAAAAAAAAAGAAAGAAAAAGGGAAAAGAAACTATTTTTGTTGGGACAAACTGAAGAAGGGGCTATAGACTGCATTGGCAGTTCTCAGTTGAGAAAATTGAAAGAGATAAAGAATAAAAACAAATAATGCATGAAAACCAACAAGCTTTACATCTTTCAATCCAAGATCAAAGCGAGTATCTGGCCTATCTGAACCGTATTGGCTCATGGCTTCAGCATAAGTGAGCCTTGGGAAAGGGTCAGGTAGCTGGACACCTTTGATCTCAAGGAAAACCTGCAGGAAAATATTTATCATGCCCTGTCAACTTACCAGTTGAATATCAGAAGTAACAGCAAAAGTAATATCAATACAGAATTAAGAGTTGTATTAAACATCTAAATTGGGCCATCAGAGCCCTCATCTACCCATGTAACCCATGCCTCACTAGACCCTAACTCCATGCTACAAAAGGAAAAATTGGACAGCATCCAGCTTTAAACTTCAGGGGAAAAAATCAAGCTTATTAGAACAAACAACTATTTCGGAACAAACCTACATATATATATATATTATTTGCTGATACCAAAAGGAATCATATGATAGACTACAAGCATGACGAGGTAAAATTTACACTAAAACATACGTATAATTTGTTTCAATCTTCTAAAAGATATTTAGTCAGATAATGCAAAAGATTGTCATGTTTACTCAGAAGTAATAATTATTTTCGGCACCACATATAGGCCAAGCATGTGCACAGCTGATGATGTTTAGCTTCTATACAGCAAAATGTTATACAAGTTTTAACAAGATTAATGCTATTACAGTTCAATTCCCACACCCAGCCCATAACAGAGGAGAATGTTACTAAAATTGGAAAGTAAAAGATCATACAAAAATCTACCAGGAGGTGCGAAACCTAGGTCATCAAATTCAAATACTAACCAATCAGTTGAAAAACAGGATTCAGCCATCATATAGGCTCTGGTCGAAAATAACATTCGATTCAGAATTTCTGGAAGGTATTAAAAATTCAAATCAACAGTTTAGAGCCCCACAATGTACGTAAATTTAGTTATAATATTGCTATGGAAGAACAGCTTCTTTTAATGAAAATTTCAGGACATGTTTTACAGAATTTTATGTGCAGAAAATATATCTCACTTCAATAGAGGATTTTATCAAAGGTCTGAAGGAACTCACAAATTGTGAAATCAGATTATTGCTCTACTATCTATTAGGCTATCAACTACAGCAAACTAATTGGCAGGATCAAGGAAGTGAGAGGGGTCAGCTAAATGAAACGTATCTTAACTCACTGGATCATTCTAATGCTTTTATCCTCACCTCATTTCATTTTGTGATTTGTTACCTCATCAAACTATTTCTACCACCCAAAAAAAAAAAAAAGACAACCTTCCTAATCAAATCTTCATTAAGTCTGAGCATGTCCTCTAAGGGAGTGAAAGCCATCTCCATATCTAGTTGCGTAAATTCAGGTTGTCTATCTGCCCTTAGATCTTCATCCCTGAAACACCTGCAAAGCAAGAGCAGATGAAGTCACATTGTGGTCTTGGTTGTATACTAATAAATGACCCAGCAATAAATGCAAAATTTCTTGATCCCCCTCTAGAATCCTTTTTCCTCATAATAATCTGAGGGGGGAAGGGGGGAGATCCTCTTCACATAAGTTGAACAATGTGTGGCAGAATGTAAAGATGCAAGAGAAAAGGGGAATTTAAATGAAAATCAACAGTCTGATCAAATAGTCGTAAACTTAAAACTTATTACCTTGCAATTTGATAGTATTTATCAAAACCAGAGACCATCAACATTTGTTTGAACAGCTGCGGACTTTGGGGCAAGGCATAAAATGTTCCTGGCTTTAAATGATGGAATTAAGCAATCAGATTTTTATTTGATGACTGATATATCTCTGGAAAACATAAACTTGAAACGTAGAGAATTAGATGTTAAAAAGCCAATAAAACAAGTAAATATTTTTCATCCTTGATGTTTCGATGTATCAAATGCTGTATGGAAATTGTTCAGCCTCCATCACTTCCAAAAGATCTACACGAGTTGTATTAAATGGCGTTCTCCTTTTCTTATCTTACAAGTTGCCTTGAGCGGGTTCTCAACAACAAAGGTAAAAAGTTTGGGGAATAACAGCTCAAATGCAATGAAATTTTAACTCTGAGTATAAATTTGAGAAGCTAAAAACATAGGTAGCCATAAAAGGCTGGAGATTAAGCGTAGCTTAGAAAACACAATTTGGCTTGAATTCGAGATTGAAGCCTGATGGGATGGGAATTCTTTCAAAATCACTAAGTCATCACCAGGACAAACGACAACATCAATACCAAGATTACATTTTGTTTTTCAATTCACTTCAACAGAAAACAAGGGAAAACACCAAAAGAGTGAAGAGGAGAAATTAGAGATAATCCCGAGATAGGTACATTTAACAGGGCAAATACTGTACCTGAATTCTTGAAGGCACAAGATAATCCCGAGCACCTTCTGGAGTAGATCTAGATAGAATTGGAGTCTCAATCTACCTTACAAACATGAAGGCAAGGATCAGAGAGTGGAAGAGACAGACTCCAGTAGAATCTTCTGATTGCACTAAGATGTTAAAATGCAAACATTACCTCCACAAAACCATGTACATCCTCAAGGTACCTTCGGATGAGTTTTACCACTTGATGCCGCAATATAATGTTGGAAGTCATTTGTGGCCGGCGCAAATCAAGGCATCGATATCTAGTAACAGGTATGGGGACCATTTAATCCGTACAGTTTAAGAGACATGCATCGAAGATCTTACAAGCAGTAAACAATCAATATATTTTAGGCTATGGAAAAAAACTATGGCCTCTGAAGCATTGCATGCTTTAAAGCCACAAACTACATTGAATAGAAAACACACATCATAGGGTATGGAACATGCAAAATGTGAGAATTGATGGTAAATAACCCATGCTACCTCTTCAACTATGTGGTTCAAAGATCAATATCACCAAAATCCCTTATCATCATATAGTGATATTACTTACTAATTTTATTTCTTCTCTTGTAAATGAGGCAAGTACTAGTATTCTTTTACTTAAGCAGTTAAGTGTCTCAGAAACAACTAGAACAACAAACCATGACCCAAGCAAACTCCAGTTTACCCACTCCAGTCACAATACCACAAATTAGCGAGAGGAAGCAGAAACAAAAGTAGACCTTCAATCATTAAGAAATGCCCAACTCGACCAGAAAAGTAAAAATATCAATTATCAAGAGAACTAACAGCAATCTGCAGAGAGAAGCAAAACATAAGCCCATGGTCAAAAAACTTCAGAAAGTTTTCACCTCAAGCGAATTTCCTCCTTTACAGATTCTTTGGCATCATCTGCAGTAGTAACTAAGAAAGGCAGCTTAGATCTCACAGTATTCAGAACATGGACACGCTCAGCAGCCACCTGCAAACTTAAGCAATTGTACTAAAACCACCAAAAAGAATAATCATCCAGGAGCAAATCCAAGTTAAGGAAATAATAAAACAGCGGTCATCAGTTATTAGAATTCGTCTTCCACAATCAACTACACATCATAATTCCACAACCAACTTTGCAGAAACTAAGTAAATTGTGGAGCACTGAGATAAAGAACTCATCCATGAACATATGATTATAACATCAGCAACAATTCATTACCTTTCCTTCTCTCCTAGTCAATCACCAGCATCAGACTTCGATTTTCTCTTTCTCTGATGCACCTAAGCTGTTATCTTCTTCTAATAACACTTATAGAATAGCAATTCAAACAAGGTCGTATTTTAACCATATTAATCATTACACTTGGAAGGTTTTTGCGGGGGAAAACATAAAACATTGCCCTTGGATTGTTCTTGTTACACCTGTTAATTTTAACACTTGAACACTTCAAAAATTGGGCCAGGGGGACTGCTTGAACAAAAGCCTAAAAAGGTTTTCCTTCAAATCACAATGCAAAACACCCTTGACACAATAGATCTGGTTGAATTCATAACAACTAGCACCACGCCTTGTTTTCAGCCATAGGCATGTTATTCTCAGTTTCTTAAAGAGTTCATGGAGACTAAACAGACAGGCGAACTGCCAAAGGAGACCTCAAATTCAAATTTTCTAGACTTACTATAGTGAGAATGTAATCAGTGACTTCCTTCAGCTGCTTTTTCTGTAATTATTGCAGAATGCATCCATCTATGCATAAAGATTTAAAGCTAAAGCAGAACACACCTCTACTGCACCAGTCCTCATCTTCTTGTTGACAGACTCAATTGGGCGAGGCCGAACAACACCTTCTACGGCCACCACATACTCAACTCTTAAGTCATTCACTGTTGAATGAGCATCAGGAAATTCGTTGGGAAGGGTCGTAATCTGAAATTCCCAAAGCACAAAAGGTAAAGACCAGTTCAACAACTCGCCCCAAAGATACTCTTTGTCGCAATTTCATCAAATAGCATATTCATAGCTACTCTTTCCCATGCAGCATTTATCGCAAATCAACAAGCATTCTCAACAAAGAAAACAAACCAAAACACGGATTGTAGACTGTAAGTACTGGTAACTTCAGACAGATTACTTCAAATAAAATTCCATCAATGTTCAAAATTTTCCACGTTTCCTAGGCAGAATGCCTTAAATTTCAGACTTAAGTAAACAAACTAATGGTCATCATGTTCAAAAATATTTATTACAATGGAAAAATAAAAGCAATAGCCAGTCAAGAACTATTACATGCTCAAGAAATGAAAGATTGAGAATTCATTATTTTTTTTAAAAAAAAAAAAGGAGAGAGAGAGAGAAGAAAATGAAAAATAAGTACCTGTACAACACCGGTATGGTCACGGAGATTAACGAAAGTGAGGCCACCATGAACACGATGAAGGGCAACCCAGCCGCAGAGCCTGACCCGTTTATTCACATCAGCTTCTGACAATTCACCGCAGAAAGCGGTCCGGCTCACCCATTCAAGAGAAGGGATGGAGCGAGATACTTTAGGGGAAGCGGCAACAAGTGGTGTTTCAGTTGAAGAAGGAGAAGGAGACGAAGCAGAAACAGAAGGAGTTGAAATGCAGCGTTTAGGAGGTTGCGTGGGTTTGAAGCTGGGGCTGTGCGAGTTTAGGAATAGAAGAGGCAATGGAGGTGGTTTGAGTGAGAAGTGTTTACAGCGGAAGGCTATACTGGGCAGAGCGCGGAGGAGTTGTGCGGCCATCTCGCGGCAGCCGCTTCAATTTTTCAATTGAGACTCCGAGCAGATAAGTCCATGGCCGGGGGACGAAGCCGAATTGAATTGAGAGTCCAAAACTATGTCGTTTTCCTGGTCCTTTTACTTCAGTGTAGATTGGGCTTGGCCTACCAAAGCTTGCTGAGCCAGCCTGCTCCATTTGATCTCAATGTTGTTGTTGACCCTAACCATCACGTGATTGGGGTTGGGCATGTACGCTCGATCTATTTTAAAATGAAACAAAGTTGGGCCAAGTTACGTAGGAAAATCAAGTGAGTTAAAATAACTTCCTTGCGTATATTTGTTTGACAAGAAAAATTTGTAGATAAAATAAGTAGTTAATTATACTTATTGAAAATATTGTGGTAATCAAATATTTTTCCTTTAAAGTCCTGTAAATTTGGATGCAATGTGCAGAAAATTAAGGTAGTATTTGTTGGTAAAGAAAAATATGGAAGAGTAAAGGAAAGTTAGTTATATTTTCCTTTAGCTCCTTTGAGGTTTAACCAAATTGCCAAATAAACTCTATAATTCTACAAAGTTATAGATAACCCTCTTTGTGGTAAACAAATATAATAAAGACACTTTTTGATGTGAGTTAATTATTTTACTAACATTATTGGTCCTCTCATCATTAATGTTATCAACATCGTCTTATGCTAGAAATCCTAAAATGCCCTTGAAACCATAAATTCCTCATTTCCTTCTACCGGAATCTACGTAATTTGCAAAAGTCCACCAAGTTGGCTGCAGCCAAATTCGATAATCATGAATTCACAATCAAAATACAAACATGAATCCCATGAACATCCATCCATACATCAGTATATCCTTTTCATTAACACAGCAAAAATTAAATCCAAATGCAACAATTACGAGCTCTTAAAGTGTTATAAAATTAAGTTGGATGTGTACCAAATCGTCAAAAAAAAATAAAAATGTATGCTTTGTGTAAGCCCTACTATATTTGTTTGAGCCTGAATATTTGTGATTGGAATAAAAGAGAATCAAGAAAGAAATGAAGGTAATTGTAAAAGGGGAATGGCTCATCAAATTTGGTGCACAAAAGGAGAGAGTTAATGAAGCCTGGATGGTGGTTTTGGAGAAAGAATAGAGTTTCGAATTTTTCATAAAAAGAAGATTTAGAGCTGAAGTTACAGTAATGCAGCAGTAGCAGGGATATTAATGAAGCAAGGGGAAGTCCGATCGAATAATTGAAGAACAAAAACAAGTTAGTGGAATAGAAAAACATACTACACTCTTTTTCTTTTCCATATTTCCTCAATTTCCTTTCACCAACCTATTTAGTTACCTTTTCTCTTTCCTACCCTTTATGTTTAATTACATCATTTTCCTTTATGTTGGTTTGTTATGTCCTGTATGCATGTTATTAAGAAATTGTTTTTCGTTATTTTTGTTTCTTTACTTCTTCTAATTTATTCATTAACTTCTCTTTGGAATGCAAAAATTATTATGTTTAGATTGTATTCTCTTCCTTTCTTCCTATCTGTTCTTCTCTCTCTCTCTCTCTCTCTTTGCTTTTTTGACAAGGATTAGTTAAAATTTGCAAATTGTAGGAATAAGGGCATTTTTATCATTTCAGTATCTCAGTTAACAGGGGTTTAGACACCATCCATTGTAAGGGTATAATTATAATTTGGTCAAGCTATAGAGCTTATTTGGTGTTTTGGCCCGACTTCAGGGGAGGTAAATGTAATTAAGCCTAAAATGAATTGGAATTTACGAGCATATTCATAAGCGCATCCGTCAGTCGGTTACAATTCTTTGGTCTCAAGTCACAGCAGCTGTTTTTTTCCTTTTTTTTTTTTGGTCAAACGAACACAGCTGTTGCTATCAGTAAAGTGGAGCGATTTCATTGGTCGGGCGCACAGGCCATCATTTGACGTGGTCTGCAACGTGAATGCAAACGCTTAGAAACTAATTATGGCATATGATTAAACAAGGCTACATAAGCGGGCAAGAGTTGTATTAGCTCAGGATATATAAGTACACATTGGAAACGAGTTGAAAACATTGAAATCTGTAACATTATTAATGGCTTCTTAACCTTTAATATTTCGCAATGACTAATAATAAGAATAGTAATTATCAATGCATATTTCCATAAATAATTGATGATATTTACTACGTCTCTGATATAAGCTACTACTAAATACTAAGCTAGGGTAAGTATATTAAGAAGAAATCAAAATCTTCAAAAATCTTGTAAGCAGTCTTAATTATTATTATTATTAGTAATAAATTTGTATCATAACTGAGAAGATAATAACATTAATTATAAACTATGGCATGCTTTTATTTTATTTCATTTGGAAAAAGTTACATGTGCATGGCGTTTGCCCGCTCAATATTACGTCGAAACGAGTGTTCTTTTTTCAAATAACGGTCCGATCGCTTATTACCTTAATTGACATGAGTACTTGACAAAGTAACAAAAAATTATTTTACATTCTTGTGATTACAATGTAGTGGCATGTCGTATTACTTTTTTTTTTTTTGGGGTTTTGGAAATTTACATATCATTCCTTTTATGTATCCAGTATTTTCATATTGAGATTAGAATCGCCCAAAAAAAAAATCTTATGCAATAATAATTACTACTATTTTGTAAGTTCTTATCTATATATCAGCATTTACCATTCAAGTGTTACATGCCTTTTAATTGCTTACTCTTTTTTTTCTTTTTTTGTCTATTCTGGATTAGGCTGTGAATGTGACCAAAAGGTAAGAACAAGTTAACAGTCTTGGCTTAAAAGGTAACAAGAAGTTAATAGTCATATCCTAAATGGTAGCAAAAATCTACAACGATGTGGCAGAAACTTCTAGGAAAATGAACACACCCTTTAAATCCCCAGCCACATTCCTCCCATTGGAACATAATTCCTGCTTAAACAATGGCAAGAAAGAGCAAGGGTAGGCAAAAGATTGAAATGACAAGAATGTCAAAAGAAAGCAACTTACTTGTTACTTTCTCAAAGCGCCGCTCTGGCCTTTTCAAGAAGGCTTATGAACTCCACACACTTTGTGGTGCTGAAATTGCAATAATCGTTTTCTCCCCAGGGAAAAAGGTTTTCTCCTATGGCCATCCTTGCCTTTACTCCATCATCGATCGTTTCGTAACCGGAAAAGCTGGCCCGAGTTCGAGCAGTTCGCAAATTGTTGAGGCACACAGGGCAGCGAGCATTCGCGAACTCAACATGCAATTGACTGAAATGCTTAATCAGTTAGACGCTGAGAGAAAGCGTGGTGAGGAGATGATCAAACTGAGGACAGCGAGTCAAGAAAGATGCTGGTGGGAGGCTCCGGTTAATGATCTTGGACTTCAAGAACTGGAGCAACTAAAGGCGGCCATGGAGGAGCTGAAGAAGAATGTGGCCAATCAGGCATAGAAGTTGATGGTGGAGGCTTCCAACGCGACTGCGTTTCTTGGGTCATCGAGTTCCAAGGGAGGAGGCCATGTTGGTCCAAGTAACATTGACGCTAAGGTTCCTCCTCCTGGTCTGGGACTTTCTATGACTCCTCATGGGTTTGCACTTGGATATGGTCGTGGATTTTTCTAAATCATATATCCAGAAATTGGTCTGATCTATTGTAGTAGTATTTTGTTCTGTTGAATCATATTTGGGTGTCTGTATTGTACCGTATAAGTAAGTCTGGGTATTAATCTTATCTATTTTATTCTTGTGTATTTTTGTTGATGCTGTACAAGAATCCTTTTATGCCAAAACAGTAAAAATGGGATAAAGTTTTCTTTTTCGATGTATGACCAATCTATCCCGTATTTGGAATCAAGGAAAGAAACCAATAGGAGATGATTGTAAAGTAAAAAGAAAAAACATAAGAAACTTTTTTTCTGGCTTTAATCTTCTAGACTGCCGCATGCGATGAAACTGTCAAACAAAGATGTGAAATAATAATAATAATAGCGTTAAAGAATTGCATGACTTAGTTTGGACTTTTTTTCCCCTAATATCTCTTCACACCAGTATAATAGTGTTTTTCAGTAGGTATACTAGGTAAATATCGAGAGGCTAAAATTAAAAATTAAAAATCTATCCAAACTAATGCTTTTCGATACCGAAGGCAGAACGGCTTCGTAATTCTTAGCTTCCTTCGTCCATTTCGGTGAAACATCAAACAACCTATACATGTGAAAATTTTCCCCATTAAAATGTTTAAAAATAGTTTCCAGAAAGAATTCTTAAACAACGCATTCAATTTGTTAATGTACTCATCTTTTTTTTTTGGACTTTTTTTTTTTTATAAGTGGAATGTCTTGAACTTTGGATCTCTCACAACTCCTTTCTGCCTTATCATCTATCACATCCCTTCCCCCTCCCTCCTCTCTCGGATTAATGTACTCATCTTGATGCTAGGTATTCACATTTATAACAATTTTTATAAAGTTTAGTACTTGTTTTGAGGATCTAAATTCTTCGCGATTGCTAGGGCTATTAGTCGAGTTTTTTGAATAGGGTTTTGATAAGTCCAAACTTTACTCACAAATTAAATAGTGCTTTTAGGTTTGGATTTCGTTAAAAGATTCAAATTCAACTCACACTTGTATAAACGTTTCAAAGTCAGAGGTTTAACCTAGTAAGATCCTAACTTAGCTCATATTTAATTCGAGTTTAATATTCAGGGTCAAAATCTGTCAAGTCCGATTAAAGATAAAATCGAACGGTTTTTTTTTTTTAACCGAATGGGTCAGACTCAGACTAATTCGACTCCATTAACAATTCTAATAGTTGCAGGAACACTTGCAGAATACATTTAACAGTTGGTTCGATCGAGTTGGTTCGAACTAATCTCAGCTATTAATTTGAAATTTAAATAAATTTTAAATCAACAATCAAGATAAGCTCTAGCCTTGCTTGGTCGATCCCCACAATTAAAACCTTTAAAAGTCTTCTGCCAACATCACAGAATCTCAATTCGTGGTTTTGATGCCTGATTGACACTATACTAAGTTGTTTAGGATCACGGTTCGAAAGTGCATCGCTACAAATGAAAAGCATTTAGGTTCCATTTTGATTGGACGAAACGTCCTTTACAATAAAATTCACCATTCTTGTGCAAAATGTTTGATCATAATGAGTAAATTTTCGTCCAATATTTGAATGAATTACTGAAAAAAAAATGAATAGCATGTTGTTCCTGTTTCTTATGTTGGTTTTCTCATACTTGCACGTGTACACGTTAGTTCCTTTTACAATACCGATAGACAGACGATGTTTCCCCTTGTAGTACAAAAGAAGAAGAAGAGTAAAAATAAAAGGAATAGACGATGATTGTATAGTGTTTTGAACCATGGAGAGTTCACAATGATAATCAATAGGATATTAGCTAAATAGGTAGAGAAAAGTTGGGCGGATTTAATCCATGGGCCTTGAGATCAAAGTTCAACGAATAAGGTTTACTAGGGTTTTCAGCTTGTCATAACTGTATGATACTGACCTACAAAAAAACCCCCAACAAAAACCTTAGAAAGTACTATTGATCCAGATATGACGATAGAATTCTTGCTTTGATGACCCTTTGTTACTTTAAAGACAATGATGATAACCAGTTGAAGGTTGTCAGATTATTGTATGGCTTTCCGTTAATAGCTGGCATATATCATACTATATTTGAATCTTTGGAAGATTTCTTACCAAGTGTTTCCTAATCACTTTCAAGTAAGAACGTGTGAATAATTATCAATTTGGCATCTTCTTAAATTTTTTGATTCGTGGTAGCTTTTGGATCTTAGCTTTATTTCCTAAATTTTAAGGTTTTACTTTTTTTCACCGATTTCTTCACTCGTTAACAAAATCCCTGTAATTATTAATTAATAGCAGGAGGTAAATAGCTACAATTCCTTTTTGACAAAAAAAAAAAGCCACAATTCCTATTTACCCATTTGCCCTCTGAGTTCTTAGCATATAGGGCATGTGAAGTGAAGCTGCTGCCAATTCACTTACGTTATGATTCATTTCTTATCCTAATTACTACTAGCGTTTTATGGTGAAAACAGTTATACACAGCATTTTGCTCCTCTATAAATGCTCTTCCATCTTTCGGCTCTTTATGAAGACATAAGTAACGTGCCAAAAGCACTTTCTGTGCTCTAACAAATGCCTACAGAGTGAGTGTGAGTGCCAATTGATCATCAATTCATACCCAAAATGAGTAGAGAAACACATATATATGAGTTGACTTTGGCTTGCAATAATAACTGATACTTCACCTTGTAATGCCAACTAAGAGAAGATTTATGTCACACCATCATAGCATTAAGATCTAAGATTTTTTTAAACTCCCAAATCAAGGGTAATTATGCCTAATGATTACATATACTAGCTAGCACAAATTACAATCAATCTATCCAGATTCAAGAGTAAACTTGAGGCCCTTTAAATTGTTGCTTCTCCACTTTATCCATAACTCTTCATAGAACCACCAAACCTAACCTAAAAAACCTCTCTCCCTCTTGTATTCAGAAGAAGATCATGGCAAAGAAACCTAGCATGGGTCGCCAAAAGATCAAAATTGCAAAAATTGAGATCAAGAATCATCTCCAAGTTACATTCTCAAAACGCCGTTCGGGACTCTATAAGAAGGCGCACGAACTCAGCACTCTCTGTGGCGTTGAATTAGCCATTATAGTTTTTTCCCCAGCGGGAAAAGTATTTTCTTTTGGCCATCCTAGTGTCGATTACATAATCGATAAATTCATTGCGCGATGCAGAAATCCTCAGCCAAACTCGAGTGCACTCCACCTCATTGAGGCTCACAGGAATGCCAGTAGTGTCCGGGAGCTCAACTTGCAGCTCACTCAAATTCTCAGTGAATTAGAAGTTGAGAAGAAAAGAGGCGAGGCATTTGATCTCATGAGAAAAGCCAGCCAAAATCATTATTGGTGGGAATCCCCTGTTAATGAACTTGGATTACACGAACTTGAACAACTAAGAGATTCACTGGAAAACATGAAAAACAGTGTGACGAGTCATGCTAGCAAGGTGGCGGCTGAGGCTAATTACAACAATTCTTCATTTTTTACACTAAACAATAGTGCTGCTGCGGGATTGTATCATCAATATGAGAGCAAACCAACCGGGGTCAGCGTGGGTTCGGTCCATCCTAATATCTTCAACTTTGGATATGATAATGGAGGATTTTGAAGCCTATTCGGTATAAACTTATCTCGTTTTTCCGATTTGACTTTGGTGCATCAAGCTAGTGCCTCGCTAGTCTAAACTGTCAATAATTATGTCATTGCTCTTCTCTGATGATTCCTCCATCAATCTACTGTAAATAGTTTAATCTCATAAAGGGTGCGCTTGGTACTATAGAATTGAAATTGAATTAGAATTCGAATTCTATAAAATTGGAATTCCAAGTCATTGCAATTCTTTCGTTTGGAAAATGCATAGAATTGGTATGGAATTTCAAATTCTTTATTTGCGTGAGAGAAGAATTCATTAGGAATTAGAATTATTTTCATGAAACATTTGCTTACATAAAATTTTTATTTTATTTTTATATAATAATTTTTTTCTTACATTTAGCTAATTTTTACTAAAAATTTAAAGGAAAAAATCAATTTATGCCTTTAATAATTTATTTTTTCGTGCATTCAGCTAATTGTTACTAAAGCTTTAAAGAAAAAAGCAAATTATTTCCTTTTTTTTTGGCAAAATACCAGCCAAAGCCCCAAAACCAGCTGAGACATTCAGCAAAAATTACAACCAACAATGACAATATAAATAGAAAATATTGCAACAATGACAATATAAAGCGTCATTGAATTCAAGCCCCGTAGAATTGAAATTCAATTCTAATTATTTGGGAAAGTTAGAAGCCAAACAAAAGAATTAGAATTGAGGCTTCCAATTCCAATTCTATGCCTCAATTCTATAGGAACCAAACCACCCAAACAAAAGTGTCATTGCTTAAATTGTTTCAAAGCCTGCCCCATTCATTCACCCCAAAAAAAATAATAATAACAAAACGGAACGTAGAGAATAACTTCACTGTGGTTCAATTCCTGGACGTAATTAGGTGAGACAACTTATACAATGCACAAAAAAGTAGTTGAGTTGATTTTTTCCATTCAATTTGAGCGGATGAGGGGTGAAAGTGGAATTTAACAAGCTCCATTCCTAGAGTCCGAGCTACATCGCACTTGCCTGGCACGGATTAAGGAAATAATTGGAAAAATTGTTTACTAAGAGTCCTATATACTTAATACATGTAAATCATACTCGATTACCGCCCACGGATTAAGGAAATAATTGGAAAAGTAGTTTCCTTTTTATTGATCTATTTAACGAAGTTGAATTGAGAACATTTTGGAGACACTTTAGTTGTCACCAAGCTGAGGAAATATATTTTTCTAATTTTAACCTAGGCAAGAAAATACTTAGCCAAAAAAAGAAGAAGAAATAATTAGATTTTTGGAAGTATATATGTTTCTATATGTTGATGCATGAATTCATCCAAACAATATGTATATCGCTTTGCTAAAAGATAATAAACCATTAACTACTTAAACTAACTACACATGCCATTAAATAACAATTTGATCGTTTGTTTTTTTTTTAATTTTGATGAAATGATTAGATCGATAGTTCTCAACAATGCCATTTTCTTGGTCAGTGTGAGAGAGTAAATTATGTTTTGCCAGGAAAAGAAGAAAATAGCTGTTAATTCTAGACAAATTGTCCATTTCTAAGTTTAATCCATCAATCAATGAGGAGTTAACACTAATTTATATTTTGTCGAAAAAAAAGGAGAAAAAGATAGAGATGTTACTCTACATAAATCATCCATTTCTAAGTTTAATCCATCAATCAAGGGGAAATTAGGAGGGTGAAACAATGGAAACTGGAGAAAATATATCGACCGAATCACAATAAAATCTTTGACGTTTTTAGGAAACAAAATTACGGGTAAATATTAAGGAAGGTGGAACCTTATATAATAATAGGATGGGATGCCAAAGCAATGTAGCTAGCCCTTAATTCATCAAAATCCCACCAAAAGACAAAAAAAAAAAAAAGGCGAAAATGAACAACATGATGATGAAGAAGAAGACGACCCAAGGTCGAAAAAAAATCGAGATCAAGAAGATAGACAACTTGAGCAACAGGCAAGTAACCTTCTCCAAGCGAAGAGTCGGTCTCTTCAAGAAAGCAAGTGAACTTTGCGTCTTGACCGAGGCAGAAGTTGCCATCATCGTTCATTCTTTGGGCAAGCGCGTCTTTGCTTTTGGTCACCCCAACATTGACGCTGTTATTAACCGCTATACCACGGGGTCGGCATCATCATCATCCTCCTCGTCATCCGTTGCTGATCCGAAAACCCCATTGGGTGCTCATGAGATTCAACAACACAACCGACACTATGCTAAAGTGTCCAAAGAATTAGAGGTCGAGAGAAAAAGAAATGAATTGATTGAAGGTTCGAAGTTAGAGAACGGTGGGAGTTTTTGGTGGGATGACCCAATTGAGCATATGGGTTTGGAGGAGCTTCAACAGTATAAAGCTTCATTGGAAGAGTTGAAGAAAAAGCTGTTGATGAGAGCCGATGACTTGATGCTGTTGAAAAATTCTTCTTCTTCTTCAACTAATTTGGGCTTAAATAATAGCGGTGATATCAATCCCGGCGTGACTGCAGTTGGTTGTGATGATATGTTCTTCAATCAGACGACGACTGAATACTGCAACAACTCCATCGTTCCTTATGGTTCTGATGACTTCGGAAATTCTCTGCAGGTTTGAAGATCTGTGGTTGGCAAAGTCAGGATAAGTTTAATATATGCATGGCTTTCAGCAGTTTTTTTTTACTGTTTAGTTTATTGATGGTTTTTCACAGTGTTGTTAGCGTTCATTCCTTATGAATTACTATAAATTAGGCTCTTGCAGTGTTTTATTTTATTGTGTTGACTGATGTCTCTTTTTTTTTGTTTTTGTCTTTCAGTGATTTTTAAGTAGGAGTATTCTTTATCTCCCCCTCTATGCGTGCATATATTTATATATATGTGTGTGCGATCCAATCTTAAATAATTGATATTAGTGTTAAAAAGCACACTCAATGTGTGTGCAATTTAGAAATCATTATTATTTTTTATGAATTTGTAAATTTTATTTTTTCATTAATAAATTTTATAAGAACTTTTCATTAACAAACTTCAATTTATAATTAATTTTTTCTTCAATTAAAAATAGATAATTTGGTAATTGCAATATTTAGAGTGATTATGTTGGTAAATGTGATCACGTGACTTAGGGTAAAAAATTAATTTTCTAAGAATAAAATTGAAAGTTCGAAAAAAAATTGTAGAAAATATTTACACTGGCTGTCAATGCCCTCTTCTTATATATTGTATAAGATTGAGGGCCTGGACTAAATGACACCAAATAGACAAAGTGAGATGTGTAAAAATAATTAATCCAAGTTTCCTTTCCTTTTTCTTTTAAATCCAATAGTATATTGCATGAAATTAAAAGCTTTAAGCAGTAAACTTACAGGATCAATCAAGCCCAAATCATGGGCTACATACAACCTCAGCCTATCTAAAGTTTTATTTACTGATGCAGGCTGACCCACTGCAAACAAGATGAGATCACCTGATCCCGCAGATAAGTGTTTGAGTAACTTGTCCTTCTTTGTGTGGTCCAAGCATGATACCAGTGGGGAAATCCCTTCAATTGCCCCTAAAAGATATACATCAAGCGCTAAGAACAATATAATCTGCAAAATGCGATGAAATGTGCAAACAATCACAAACATCACTCTCACCATCTTCTAACACCTTTAAGAAAGGCAAACCCTTTGCTCCAGATTTAATAGCTTCATTGTAAATATCACCTTTCTTCAAAGCAGTATTTGAGTATGTCTTTCCTCCTGAAGGGACACACAAGGCGTTAACAATTCCCCCACTCTTCAAGGTATCTGCAAATGCCTTGAAGGAGGAATCTGAAAATATCTCAGATACCTGCAAGCCAAGAAAAAGTTGCTGCCTAAGACCATTAGGTAATCACTCCAAAAAACAAAAAATAGATTTAAGATTTCATAATATAGTATCATCTATGGTACCAAAAGAATGCCAACCTGTCTTCCCCCCCCTCCTCCCAAAAAAAAAAAAGAAAAAGGGAAAAGAAACTATTTTTGTTGGGACAAACTGAAGAAGGGTGTTAGGATATGCAACTTTTCCTACATATTTTGCTAGATTATATTTGATATCAAAATAATTTAGTTATTAGAAAATAAGGATATTTGTTAACCAAAGATCATGTTGGTTTGTTAACAAATATTTTAGATAAGATTTGCTAGTAGTAGAAGATTATATTTTGTTGAGATTTTTTAGGATAATTGTTAGTTGGATATTTTGCTAGTTTGTTTCATGTAATCACTATAAATAGTGAGTTGATGAATGTAGAACATAAGCTCATTTTTTCACCTTCAATACAAGTCTCTTATAAGCTTTTTTTTTGCAACACTAAGGTGTTGTTTCTTAGTTCATGCCCCAAAAAACCAACAAAGGGGCTATAGACTGCATTGGCAGTTCTCAGTGTAATAAAATAGGAGAAAGTGGAATGCTGTGGATTACACTCCACAAGGTATAATAGTATTGTGGATGCTCTTAAATTAAAATGGGAATCATAACACTTTTGTTGACTACTGAATGGAAATTTAAATTGGAATTTAAGAATAGGAGATGATATTGTAGTGAGAGATAAAAAGAGAGGGGTGAGGGGCGAAAATGAAAAGAGAGGTTAGGTATTGGGATGGGTAGTGGGAGGATCTGGTTTGCGATTAATATAATTGTAATGCTTTTTCAATGCTGCCCGGCTATTTGCTGTCAAATTAGTAAGGCCATGGGCAATTCTACGCCGGCAAGTTGTTTTGGAGAAACTCAAGTCCTCAAGCCCAACATGTCGGCCCAAAATAGGTCCACGAGACGTTTAATGACAATTGGACGTCCCTTTCAGGGTTGCATGCTGAGCCCAATGTATAAAGCCCTCTTCCGTGTGTGGTCCATGAACTGCCGCCCCCAACAGGAACGGTGGTCCAGTCATAAATTCCTTGTTTTTCTCTGTCTTTTTTGTCTTTTCAAATTTATTAATGAATTCTGTCCAGAATACATCTTGGTCCCGGTGGTCATCATCATACATTACCAGCAACTACAATCTGTTGGTCTTGAGAAGCAGGCTCAACACAGACAAGCAGAGGCCAGGTCAAATAAGGGATCCTATATTCGGCAACAAATTGGAGTATTTACATCCGTTTGGTTTTGCTTAAACATGGTATACTGCACTATTGGGCAGACGTGTCAAAATGTGTGACTTGAACGAATTTAAATTAGTTAAAATGACATTATTGAGTAGATTGAATTGAGTACACGTGGTATATTGATAGTGGTTGTATAATGTACCGTCCGATCTGCCACCTATACTATTTGGCAATCTTCCAAACCTTAGTTTTAACTAATTACAAAATTTGTTGACCTTAACTCTCAAAGTTCTTGTAAAGGTGGACCTTAAAGAGACATTAACATATGAATATTGACCATGACAGTGAATAGACTCGGTAAGTACTAGTATCGCTTTTTTTATGGTTAGTGAAAGCAGTTACTATCAAGAACTAGTAAAACCTCTTCCGCCAATTATCACCTACGGGTTAGGCTACTATTTTCTGCAGTTGGACAAGATCAACTACAATATCATTGGATTGTCTCCCCCTTCCAGAATCCAGAGATACACGATAATGCTCAGGTCCTTGTCATGGACAAATGAGATTGATTGTACAACGGTTCACTCCCATATTCAGATTTTTTTTTTTTTTTTTAAAGAAGGGTATCATCGGCATTCTTTTTCTTTGCATGCCTCGCTTAGCTACTGGTGGCAGATATGATGAGCAAGTGTCTATGTTGCACATAAAGCCCGAGAAAGGGGTTTGAAATTAACATTTATCGAATTTTTTTTTTTTGCTTTTGTAAAAAATTCTTATTTCGACTATTTATAATTACTCATGACTATTTTTATTTTTAATTATTTAAATATATAATTTTTTCTAAACATTGTAATTATCAATATAAAATTATTTTATGAAAAATATTTAAAAGATTAAAGTTTGCTTTAACAATAAAAATTTTATTCAAAATACATGATTATAAATATTTTATATTTTTCATTGCATGCATATTGTATGTGCATTGAGCACTAGTTGCAATAATGGTGACAGACGCTGCACAAAGAAGAGGATTTGAAGATAATATACAAAATACACTACTCCACTAAAAGTAAAAATACCAAAGCAAGTGGCCCAACCGAAATGCAAATGGCTCCCTAACTCTACGTCTATGGGCCGCGCGCCAGTTGAATGGTGACTCCAAATTTTTTATATTTTTTTTTTGTAAATTTGCTTCGTCTTGTTTCGGTTGACAGCTATCACAATATCCGTTACTCAATCAACTAAACTCCAATCTCACGTAATATCAGTTTTACATTTATGACAAATTAATTAAAATGGAAGTGCATAATTTTGCTGCCTGCGAAAAGTCTGGCCTTTTGATTCTGAAATGAAATACAGGTCGTTAACCTAATTTTAAATATGAATCTATAGATGGGACCCAAGTCCAATTTGGTGAAGACTAGCGTCCAACCCGGTTCTACTGGCATTACCAATACTCGCATCAACAACAGCTGTCCACCAGGCAGCTGTGTCCAATCCAACTCATCTGCCGCCCCAAGCTTCCAATCACAACATTCGTCCATACAACATTACTTCGCTTGGAGTAGTCACCAAATATCTAGTAAAAGAAAATAGTACTAATGTTTCAAAAAAAAAAAAGTTCTTTACACTCCATATTTTATTATTTGCACTCTCACTATTTATTATATCATATAGTCTAATAAATAAAAATTATATAATAAAAATGATAGTGAAAGTGCAAATAACAAAAAGATGAGTGTAAATATAAAGTGTATTTAGATAGTGTATTATTTGAAATATTATTTAGATTAATTACTGTAGCATTTTTTGGAATGTTATTTATGTGAGATAAAAAGATAGTTGGGAATATAAAAATGTGGATTGGAAAATATGTTTATAATGCAAGCGAAATATTATATGAAATAATTCAGTAATCCAACATTTTTTTAACGAGCAGGTGATATTTGTATTCATTAACAAATTTAAATAACACTTAATTTAGTATATAATGCACACATTTACATTTATTATTAGACCGTGGATTTGACACTTCTTTCAATTTAACTACATCTTGTAGAAAATTATGCCTAATTTGGATTGCGTTTTTTTTTTTGTAGAAAATTTTTATAAGTTTCCTTGAGAATATTTTTGTCATATTTTTCTAATCATTTTCTTATCTCACGCACATCACATTTAAAAAAAAGAATGTTACTATATTTTATATTTCTAGAAAAATTCCTAAAAACTTACAATTCGAACGGACTTTTAATATTTTAGTCTCATCCAATTCAACAACCAACGAGGGAGTACTTGTTAGCTAAATCAAATGATAATAATAATAATAATTATTCATGTGTTTGGATAGCAGATTATTTGAAATAAATTTTTAAAAAAATTACGATAGCATCTTTTTTATATGATATATATGGGATAAAAAAAATATTGAAAAATGTATTTACTGTTTAATCAAATAAATTTGCACGAGTAATTGTCTATCCAAACAGAAGAGAAAAAGACAAGACTCGAACACTCACTCCCATGCAAGCACATCCAATCGTTTGTACTGCTAATTAATTAATAAGGAGATGCTAATTTCCAAAAACACACGCTATACGTTACCAAGAAAGCAAGAGAAAGATAGCCAATGCTGCCCTGGCACTAGATCACCATTCGTACGTGCACACAGCTCATTCCGCACGCTTGCCCATGCAACGTCAATCTGGCCCCGGCCACTTTTTACTTCTCTTCTATATCCTAATGTCCTGTAGTAATATTTTCCAGGTCCTCTCTCTCTCTCTCTCTCTTCTCTTCTGTCCATCAATCCTGCTATTCTCCAGCCTGTTCTTAACTTTTCTACTCTTCCTTCAGTCTTTATCTTCCGCCTCCGCAATCCGCATCCCCACATCCCTTATATCTATGCCCTCCCCAATAACTGCCTCTCCCATTCATCAACTGCGTTCTACATCCTTCAATTCTTTTCCAGACGGACCAAAACAATGGATCCTTGTCCATTCGTCCGAATTGTGATTGGAAACTTGGCGCTGAGGCTTCCTTCCCCATCCTCATGGTCTAAGTCAACGACCACCACGACCCTGTGTTACTGTAAAATCAAGCTCAAAGGCTTCCCAACGCAGTATTCGACTGTCCCGTGGCTCTCTCAGGAGAGTGGTACTGATGCGATTGAGCACAGGATTCATGCTGGGTTTAACTTCAAGAAGTTGGAGTTTGAGAAACTTGTTGAGAAATCGGCCGCCAGAGGTGGGACTTGTGGTTTGAAGATTGAGATATATACGGGAAAAGGAGGGAATACTTCTGCAGCTTGCGGGTGGAAGTTGGGTGGGAAACTTTTGGGCAGCGTTTTGGTGCAGCTGGACTTGAAGGCAACGGAGCATAGTAATAAAGGGTGCGTGATTCAGGATGGATGGATTAGTACGGTGGGCGGTGGGAGTGGAAAAGGGGTTGCGTTGCACGTAAACGTGAGAGCTGAGCCAGACCCAAGATTTGTGTTTCAATTTGACGGGGAGCCTGAGTGTAGTCCCCAAGTGTTTCAGGTCAATGGGAACGTCAAACAACCAGTTTTCTCTTGCAAGTTTGGGTTCAGAAGTTGTGGAGAAAGAAATTTGAGATCCAGGTTGGTTTTTCTCTTTTTATTTGGGCGTAAAAACTGCTATTACTATTTCCAAATTTCAGTTTGTTGGTGGTTGCGTTTTAGAGATGTTTGTTCATTAAAGTATTTGGTGGAGTTGGGTTGTATGTTAGTAATTGTATGCGATCTCAAGTCTAGTGATACTGCTTGAGGAAGTTTCAGCTAAATGCGTATCGACTTCAATCGATATAAACAGTTACAAGAACTTACAGACTACCTTCCATCTTTTATTGGGGTCGTTCGCATGATCGTCTGTTGTTCTAAAAGAATAAAATTAGGCTTGTTATAATCGAATTTCAGAAGGCCTATTTCGTTGCATGATACGCAAGTAGATGAGCTTTTCATTGAATTTCCCTCCTTGCTGACATATTTGTTCTAATCAAAGGGGTCCATGTAATTTGATAGTAAAATTGTTCTTCAAGCATGTTGATTGCGCTTTATTTTGTGAACAGTGATCATGAGAGTCATTTGTGCATGTTTTAACTTGTAGTATCGATTAATTGGCTTACAATCAAATGATGCGAATGGTGACTAAGTACAAATTTTTCTTCATACAGATCATCTATGTCAGAGCCAAACACCAGAACTGGCTGCTTCAGTGCATCATTTCCAGCGGAAAAAGAACGACCCTTGAAGGAGCGAAAAGGGTGGTCAATTACAATCCACGATCTATCTGGTTCACCGGTTGCCGTAGCATCAATGGTGACACCATTTGTTGCCTCACCAGGCTCTGATAGAGTGAGCAGGTCGAATCCAGGAGCCTGGCTCATACTCCGCCCTGGCCACGGAACCTGGAAGCCTTGGGGGCGGCTGGAGGCCTGGAGAGAGCGGAATGGTGGTGACCATCTGGGCTACCGCTTTGAACTTATCCCTGATGGCAGCATAGACACCATCACCCTGGCCAATTCCTCATTTAGCACCAAAAAGGGCGGAAAATTTAGCATAGACATTGCTACTGGCGGCACTCCATTGACCAGCCCCAACAGCAGCTTCGATTTTAGTTCTGCTTCTTCAGGTTCGGGGTCAGGGTCAGGATCTTGGGGACAACTGTTGTATAGAGGGTTCGTCATGTCGTCTACCGTGGAGGGTGATGGAAAATGTAGCAAGCCGGAGGTGGAAATCGGGGTGCAACATGTAACTTGCACAGAGGATGCAGCAGCATTTGTGGCATTGGCGGCTGCAGTGGACTTGAGCATGGATGCTTGCAGGTCATTCTCACAAAAGATTCGAAGAGAATTAAGACAGCCCGATCAGGAATATTAACCAAAGTTTTAAGTTGCCTCACGACGGCTTTTGCATTTAGTTACTTGAGAGTTTTTGGATTAGCGATTTTAACTAACGTAAACTAGCTACAGTTTCAACTGATGATTCTTATATAGTACTAGTATCAGATAAAAAGAGTGTACAGTGATTGACAGCGGTTGTAATTTTTGTTTTGGCTTCAAAAATTTTATTCATTGTGTACAATTGTTGTTTGAATCTTGAATTAGAGTAGTAGTGTATTTGTTCAGAGCGGAGATGGATCGAATTTTTTGTGTGGTATCCGAAATTAAAGAAGTAAGTGCCTCTCCGGGTGGGTAGGTACTGGCACTATTTTTAACGAGGCTGCAAATGCTACTGGTTCCATGTTTTTTTTTTTTTTTTTTTTGGTCGATACAGGAATGTCCGAACTTTCGAGTCCGATTAATTCTTGCGGCCCGAGAGAGGGTGCGTCAATTCATTCCAAGCACATTAGTAGGACTCGAACTTTGGTGAACATGTCTAAAGAGGAATAATCACACCGGTCAAGCTACCTGATGGGACTACTGGTTCCATGTATGCTAGCTGTTCTTCTTGTCTGGCATGGTGCTCACATGGCTGGCATGATTCTTTTTTTTTTGAAGGAGGGCCGTTTGATTCTTTGAACTCGTCCTTTGGCACCGTGACAAAGAAGCAAATAGGAGTATTTATTTGTCTTTTTCTTGCAAGAATTCTACAGTTAAATGGCCCTTCAAGTTGGTACTGTTAGCTTTATTCCTAGGTTCTTTATCAATGGCATAATTGCTTGATGTCGACGGGGACCAAGCCAAAAAAACAAAAAGAAAAAATTTTCAGTTGGGAACAACGAACGGGGGACTCTGCTGTGTATTTGCAGGTCAATGCAGTAATCTATGCAAATGAACCTTGCTAAGCTGGAATGCAATCAAAGCATAGGATATATGCAAAGTGAAGCAGCCGTGGCTATTCTAGAATCACCCAATATATATATATATATATTAGAAAAACGTTTTAAGTAAATCAAGAAATTCCTGAACCACTGGTGCCGGTCCACCACCAAGGCAGTAGACACCAGAATTCCCAACAAACAGCCAATAATCATCACCATCATCCAGGCTGGCGACTGCCCAAAAGTCCACCCACGCTGGTAACGTAAGGCATGAGATCGGTCGAGTTGATTTTCGGGCTAACACGTGTACCCACTTCGAGTTTTCATAATCAATTCCAATTTTATGGTGCAACCTGCCAAGTGTGTTTTTTGAGTTTTTATTTAAAATTTTACTGTAATTTAATATAAAAGTTTTTTAAAATTTGTTTGAAGTGTGTTTTTTTTAATATTTTAAAGTTTATAGTTTAAAAAATTTTAAACTTTTTTTAGATTACTGTAGTTAAAATTTTTAAAAAAACTCGTAACAGATAAATTTAACAAAAAATTTATCTACCAAACAAGGCCTATAATCATTATACTTTCCCGGGTCTAAAGCACCGTAGACGTCGGTCAAAATCTTTAATAATAATAATAATAATAATAATGAAGACCGTAGACCAATAGACGTGAAGATTGGCAAGGTCAAAGTCACGTTGCTTATAAAAGAATAGTACTATATGCTATGATCCAGGCAGGCATACAGTCAAAAGATGAAATGAGAAAATCATCAACCACTGGGAGAAAAACGCCCTTTTCTTCTAGTAGTACTGTAGTAGTAACAATAATGAGCATCAGAATAAAGAACATTTTCCACTTACAAAATTAGAATTTAGAAAGCCACCAGAGCCCAATAGGGACAGAGCAGGACAATTGCGGGCGCTGGCTAGCAGCTAGAATGCTGGATTCCTTGAAGAAACTGGCCCTATTCGCGTCTTCAATATTCAGTTCTCTACTTTCGGCCCAAATTCCCAATTTCTCGAGTAACATTAGCCGCATATCCTAGTTAAAATTAAAGACCATCATCTTCTAAGCTTCATAATTGCGTCCCCCGGAAAACAAAAGCATTATCCTCCGGTTGTCAACTTGCAGAACATTCATTACATCGGAAGGCATTTTGAGATTTTGGATGAAGATTAGAAATGAAGGAACAGAGGAAATGGATTATACAGTTTCATTCTTAGATAACAGTTTAATACTAACTTGTTACATGTTGCCCTCAAAGTTGAAACAACATCCGTAAGGCCATATACTGTAGGGAGTGATTGCATTTCCAATTTTCACACTATAACAAACACTCCTTAAAAACTAAAACCATTTCTAGAAAGATGAAAAAAAAAAATGTGAGAAAACAGAATGTGAAAGCATAAACAAAACTAGCCAAGATTCCTATCCTCCAAACATTCATTCTGCTGCAGCATCTTCATCGTGGCTTCCTTCAGTCTGTATCTCTGGCAAAGTATCTAGGTCTGTCCTAACTTCTTTCTCTACCAAGCCCATCGAAGAATCAGATGAATCAATAGGATCATTTTGGACTTCTTCCGCATTCTCAGTTTTAGCAGCATCATCATCCGTTCCATCTGCAGCTCCATCACTAGTGTCTCCCGACTTCTCAGCCTCAGTTGCATCGTTGGTTTCCACAGTTGAAGACCTTGAGTTATCCTCCGTTCCATTGGATGAATTACCAGACTTCTCTGACTTAGTAGAAAGTGTAGTGTTGTCTGTCTTTGAGGCCTCCCCTGAGTTTGAATCGGAACCCTCAATTTTGGAGGCTGCTGTTGTAGTAGAATCAGTGTGACTGTCATTGGAACTTGAGCTATTGTTCTTTCCCTGATCTAAAGGAATAGTGTGCAGGCCAGAGCCATCTCCAGAGGTCGTATTCTCTGTTGTGACATTCTCAGACTGCGTTCCTGCACTATTCTGCATAGACAAACCATCAGCACCTCCACCTGCACTCGCTTCTGTTGTGTTGTCGATTTGATTGAGATGATTTGAAGATGAAGAGACATTATCGGGCATGGATCCAACATTTGCCTTGCCTTCATTGGCTGTTGTATTTGGAGGACCTACATTTTCTGCCATCTCTCTATCTTCAATCTTTGAACCGGTTGTTTTCTCAGCAACATCATTTTCATGGGTATTGGTCGCGTCTTCACTTTCTACAACATTTTCTGCAGCAACTTCATTGGAGTTTTCCGAGCTTCCATTCTCATTTTCAGCACTATTATCTTCAGATTCATGTGTCACTGCACTGGAAGCATCGTCTGCCTTGTAATGTTCTTCTCTTGCCTCGTGCTCTTTTTCATCATCGTCATCACGCTCCCCCAAAGAGCTATCATTCTCCACCTGGCCACTCTTATCTTCAGAATCTTTCTCTTCGTTTTCCTTCTCATCAACCGCTTCCTTCTTCTCTTCCTCTGTCACATCCTCTTCGCGATCAACCTCATCCTCTGGTTTATCATCTCCATGTTCATCTATCTCATCATCTCCAATCCCTCCACCTTCATCTTCTTTCTCCTCAGACTTCTTGTCATCAGCATGTTCTTCTTCATCATTCTTATTTTCCTCCTCTTCTCCAACATTTTCTTCTGCTTCTTCCTCTTGTTTTGTACTAGTTGTATCTGTTTCCTCCACTCTGGGATGAAGATCTTTCCTCCCAAGTTTTACAACCTCGCTGCTATATTGTGCCTGTTCAGAGTTCTTCACATCAGTTTCATCGAATTCCTTCTTCTTATCATGTGAACGCTTGACTTGGTATACTAACCAAAAACAAACAGCAAGAAGGAAACATATTTGCAAAACATGTTTAACTTTAATTCCTCTAGATCTCTGACTTCTGCTAGGTGACTGCTTGAACATGACTAGACTCGTAAGAATTTCTTCAGTGCAGCTACTGTCTTCTCGCTCTCCAGGAGGCTAAAGTGAGTGAAGAAACTGCATCAAGCACAACAGATATTGCACATCAAGAAGAGTTTTAGAAAGCAATTAATTAACACAGAAAGGAGCTATTCATTCAATGACGTTCAAGTGAGAGAGTAGGGTAATTCCACTGATGTCACATAAAATAAATAGCAAATAGCACAGCTTTTATTCCCGGAGAACAGCCTCAACAATAACAAGCGTTTATGGCCTCAATAAGGTCCTCACTATGCAAAGTGACTGCAGATACTAATTATAGAAAGAGAGAGATATAGAAAGAGAGAGAAAAGGGTCTCCAGTTTTGCACATCGTTACAGGAATCTGTAATTTGTTATTATTAAATTAATAAGCTTTGCTGCTAAGGTGAAAAGTGCCTAGCGTCACGCCCACCTAATAGTTAGGCCAAGCAATTAGCAACCTTAAGTTGGATATAATTGACTTTTAAGATTGTCAACTGGCACCACCCATGGTTTTGTATTTACCAAGTCTAGCTGCATGAACGCTGTAAATTCCTACAAAGGAGTCACGGTGCAAGAGAAGGGATCAGAAAGGTAGTTTATTTAATTGCATGCCAAACACTACTCGTACCTTTATCAACAATAGAAAGAATGAAAGAGGAAGTGTGGTTGAATTCACACCCAAGTCTACCATGTTGTAACTGAAACCTACATCTATTCACCCTGCCCTCGAAATATATAACAGCAGACAAACTTTACCAGACTCCAGGAAGCAATCAGTTGTATAAAAGCTTGTCTTAGATACTAAGGTGCGATAAACCTAAAGTCACACTATTGAAGAGGGATCCATACCAGGCCCAAATGGCAACAAAACTCTGAAGCAGCCAACTCAAAAAGTTCCCCAGCAAAAGATGAATCCCACAATGGTTCAATTCAAACAGACTCCTCAAAGAAATACTTTAACTCACAATGGAAACTTCCTAATCCTAATAAGCAACCACAAGTCAAAAGCTATAGACAACAAGTAGAAACCAATATCATCACTTGCTAACAATGTTTTAAGGCTGAATAATTGCCAAGTTAAACAAGCTGAAAAAGCCCCTTAACCCGCTAGAGAGTCGAAATAGACAGAGCTATATGGCAGCCTCATCATCAATTCTGACGAGAAAGGACAAGTCAAAACTGCCAGGGGAACTACTCCCATTTAAGAACAGAAATTGCAAGTAAATCACAAATAGCAATGGAATTAGAGTTGACAAAATCATCCATGACCAAATTAGTCTTCTTTAAGCCTTATCACTTCTCCTACTCGATCTGAATCATGCTAAAGTGGATAAATTTATAGCAAGCCCACAAGAAACCATCATCCCAGAAACAAAAGAACCCCAGAATCTCTCATGCATTTACGAACTCGCACTATTTACAAATCCAAAACTAAATTTTGCACAAAAATCGAATTTTTACCAATTAACAGGCAAAACCCACTTCCAGAAACACTTAATTAACTAGTTACAAGGAACAGATCAATGAACAAATTCTCATACATCATCATTGCAATTCTGGCCCATCTTAGACATGTAATAACCCCAACTAAAAAGAACAGAAGAAACCAAGCAATACTTAATCTAATAAACCCAATTCTTACACTCAAACAAGCATGAAAATTCCCTAGAACCCAGTTAATAAAAACAACAACAGATAAACCAAGTACAAAAGGATTTAAAAAAAAAAAGAAAAAAAAAGGCACAGTTACCCGCAGAAGAAGAGGCAAGAGACTGAATGAGTAACCCAGAAAGCAAAGAAATTTGGGCTTGAAATCTAAGACCAAGAAAAGAGAAAGTAATAGATTAGATTAGACCCTTAAGTGGTAGAGTAGAATTAAATGGGATTTTTATAAACACTAATAGCATAATAAATGAGTCAAAGGACTTAAAACTGCCAAATGGGATTTTTGGGGGACGTTATTTTGATGAAGGGGAGATTTTGACAGCTCTCTTCCACTATTAATTTCGGACGAATCTAAAAAGAAAAGAGGGACAGAGTTTTTTGCAGCCGTTTTGATCTTGTGATTATTGTGCGGCGTGGAGTTACATGGGTACAAGGTTGAATGGGCTTTTGCATATATGGGTACGCTGCTTATTTTGTTTTTGTTTTTTGTTCCCTTTTTCTACTTAATTTATTACAACTACTTAGTACATATTCGTTTGAATTAGTTATTTTTTTTAAATATATTTGAAATATTTTACTGTAATAATATATATGAAAAATTTTTACGATAAATATTTTTTGTAATGCTTTTGAATGTGCTTTGAAATGTATTTTGAAATATTTTTAAAGTCTAAAAATTTTAAAGGTATTTTTTAAAAAATAAAACTGCCACCCACCAACGTCGCCCTTTTCCCCCTCTTTCTTCTTCCTCCTTCTTCATCATTTTCTTCCCCTTTCCCGCCACACCCTGCCCTTCCCTTCCACCTCCTCGATCTAGCCTCGATTTGGTCGAGGCCGAGGTCGCAACCGAATTTGGGGGGGACAGGAGGAGGAGGGGAGGGATAGGGTGCATGTGACAGAAAAGGGGAAAGAAAAGGAGGGGAGGAGGAAAGAGTGGAAGGAGGAAGAGGGAGAAAAAGTGAGGAGAGGTGGTGGTGGTGGTAATGGTAGATGGAAAAAGAAGATGGTGTAGATTTTTTTTTTTGATTTTTTTGAATATTTGGAATTATTTTTGATATATTGTATGAACGTGGTATTTTTTGAATTATTTTTATTTGTATATTACTGGATCCTTGTAAATGAAAAATTTGTTTTTTTTTTAAAAAAAAATCGATAATCCAAACATATACTTTAAGTATTTGTTTATTGAGGAAATCTGGTGTGGTGGATCATGCTTCTTCATGATCAGCAACATGTGATCATGTTCGTTGCCCGTGGCGACAATTGGCTTTGCTTTATTATCATCGGACTATCCTAATTTACTTGATCATGTGACGTGCCAATCGGCACTCTTGCTGTTAACAACCAGCCCTTTCGATCAGTCCGACGTCGTCTTTATATTTTGCAAATTTCCCAATCTTGAATTTCATGTTTGCAAAATTCCCAATCTTGAATTTTTCAAAAAATTTCATGTTTGATAAAAGTAGCTTCCCTTTCCTATCAAATAAGCCAAAACAAGGGGAAAAAAATCAAGTTCAATTGGACTAATACCACTACTATGTGATTCATGCCAATTTGGCTCTTGAATTCTCAATTTTCTTTAAAAAAAAAAAAAATTTGATCCGTGATATAGTTACTTTTTTTCCAGCGTTAAAATGGATCCAGGTGTCCAAAAAGACACGTAACCGCGATCCTAGCACCAATGAATGCAATCAACGTCAAATTTCCTGCCAAACAATTCATTTCAATTGCAACTTTTGCTTATAATAAGCATAATATTTTGTTGACAAAGTTACTCCAACACTTGATTCCCATGCCCGATGAGGTATCCGGAATAAATGCAACTTATCAAAGAAGATGGCAATAGTTCTTGATCTTTCAATGGTTTAAATTTTAGAAGTTGACCATGAGGACGTAATTGCTACAGGAAACTGTTTTTTAAGAATTGGAGGCCTGATCTTTAAAAAAAATTTAAAAGTACTCTGATATGGGCCTGAACGTCTCTTTAATTGCAGCGCACTTTGGTTGAAAGCGTGGTCGTGGGCTGCGGAGAATAACTGAATACACAGGTTTAAACTTGAGATGGGCCTAAGAGTTCGTACTTGTATTTCTAGCAGACTTAAAAAAGCGCTTGGGTGTCTTCATCCCCCCCCCCCCCCCCCCTTTTTCTTCCTTGCCAATTTTAAAAAAAAAACAGAGAAAAAGAAAAATGACGGAGATTCTCTGCCTCCATGAAGACGGCAACTCTTTATTTTTTAGATTCAAGTCACCTATAGACGATTTTTTTTTTTACCAGCTGACATAGACAAGGATATAAGTGCTTCTGATGCACATGTAATCACATCAATCTGAATAGTGCAAGTCAGTCAGTCGGAGGAATTCTTGATAAGTTGCATAATAATTCTTGATAAGTTTGCAGACCTGTTTTTATACGTCAAGCTTTTAGGTAGAAAGGCTTAGCGAATGGTGTGTGCCTAAAGCGAGGAATATGTCTATCACACCTTCTTCATTGCATGGAACAAGACAGCACAGAACGAGATGAGTTTCTTTCTTTGCCTTTTCTGCAAGTAGGTGGGATTGGGAAAAGTGTGGTCTTGCTGAAACCAGACCTAAACTAAAGACATAATTCTTGTATTATAACGTGTCTAGCTGAAGTAATCATGATCATGTACATCTAACTACATTCAAGAAAAACCAGGACCACATAATTAATGATACCACTACATCTAACTACATTCATTTGCTTCCCCCCAAAGATATTCTTGCTTAAGCTAAACTCTTTTGATCTTGTCTTCAGCCAGCAGTCCATGCATGCAATAGCTATATATATATATATATATTGCGGAATCCCTTCTACCTTCTACTCGTATACTTATTTTGAAAGGAAAAAGAAATGAATGCTTCTAGGTTCATTTTCTTGATCGGCATTCTTTCCATAGAATTGATCCAAATTTCTATTGCTTCCGTGGTTTCGGCAGGAGATTTTAACAGAGACTTTTTCGTGACATGGTCTCCTAGCCACGTTAACACTTCTGCGGATGGCCGAGCAAGAAGTCTGAAACTCGATCCGGAGTCAGGTAATATATATTTTGCAAACATTCAGAAAATTAAAGAACAATTTAGCACAGTAATTATTCAATATGTCAGATAACAGTTATATATCTAACTCTTCTTTTTTTTCGTTTTTTCATCAACAAAATAATTGTATTGTATAGGTTCTGCTTTTGCTTCAAACGACATGTTCTTATTCGGTCAGTTCGACATGCAAATTAAATTGATACCGGGGAACTCAGCAGGAGCCGTTGTAGCCTTTTACGTGAGTAAAAATGCATTTTCCTGGGCTGTTCGGTTTTCCTTTCACACGTATTGTTGAGGAAATTAAGTGCTTGGTTGTTTTATAAAAATGCAGCTTAGTTCCAATCAACCAAACCGTGATGAACTAGACTTTGAGTTCCTTGGCAACGCGGACGGGCAGCAGCAGCCATACATTCTTCAAACAAATGTATATGTCGATGGCTTTGACGACAGAGAGGAGAGAATAAAGCTGTGGTTTGATCCAACAAAGGACTTCCACACCTATACCATTTTGTGGAATATTCACCAAATTGTGTAAGAGACTACAGCTTTTGTTCCTTGATTGTTGTTCGTAAGATTTCAGCTGCTCTATAATTAATTCGGTTAAATATCTACTCTTTTGAACTTCCAACACACAGCGGGAACTTTTGCTCGAGAAGCAATTTTCCTGTGGAGAATCTTATATGTAGCCTTAATAAACTGAAAATCTAAAACAATATTTGCTCAACTAGTATATATATTGATAGATTAACCTTAGGAAGTTGATACCGTGCCGAACTAGCACGCGTATTTTAATCTCAAGCAAAATAGAAAGACAACAAGAAGAAGAGGCGGTGATGGAATCCTTGTACTATAATGATGAGATAATCGATCGAGTTTTGCTTTGTTTGGTGACCTCTTAATGGGTGCAAATGATACGCTTAAACATACTTTGCTTCCACCAGTTTCCCTAACTCTTTTGTTGAGAGGCAAACTGGCTCCATATGTTTAATCTAGGCAAGGAATGCTGTCTTCATACTTTGGGGCTCCTAAATTAGTAATTTTTGTTGAGTATCAGTGCTTGCAGCGTTGTTTACTCATATTTTGTTGGATCTAATCTAACATAAAGTCATACATTGGATGGCAATTGAACAAACTTATTAATTTGGAGTGAAATTTACGTAGCCAAACCAAACTTTGCTAGTAGCATGCATATGGTATATTATATTTATAGCAGCCAAATGGGAGAAACAAAAATGCTTATGACATGCAAAATCTTGTTTCGAAATGTGCAGATTCATGGTTGATTGGGTTCCCATCCGGACATTCAGAAACCATGCAGATAAGGGAGTGGCATTTCCCAGGTGGCAACCTATGGCCCTCCAAGCCAGCATATGGGATGGCAGTAGCTGGGCTACAGGTGGAGGCAAAGACAAGATTGACTGGTCGAGAGGTCCGTTTATAGCTTCATTCCAGAACCACAAGATTGATGCCTGCATTTGGAAAGGCAGTGCAGGATTTTGCACGGCAGAAAGCCCTACAAATTGGTGGAACCAAGACCTATCCAACTCTCTCACATGGGCCCAGAGAAGGCTATTCAGATGGATTAGAAAATATCACGTCATATATGACTACTGTCAAGATAGGCCCAGATTTAAGAACAACCTACCTAAGGAATGCTCCCTGCCCAAATATTGACGCAAAAACACGTTACTTTTTTTTTCCAAAGTTTCTTCTATAATTCTTTATGTTATAAGTTTGTTCCACACTTCAGAAAAGTAATGCTTTGTTGGAAATGTGATGATTATCCGTTTGTGAGCCCATCATCTAATGGGCCTCCACAGCTTTCAAAGTTCATGCCGCTCAGTGAAGTACGCATCCATCAGACATCTGAAGCACACATGGAAGGAGTGGATGGACCCCACAGTCTTTGACCAACAAAAAAGAGAAGGATTTAGTAAACAAGGCACATCCATTTCAGTCAGAAGCGAAACTCGGCCATTCCGTTTCTTATTCTATTTTCCTTGTTAACTAACCCATTCTTTCAAACAACTGCTTTAGCGCGGGAACATTTACACAGTGAGAAATAAAGATTAATGAGAGAAAATCTTCTCCTTTTATTTTTATTTTTACCCTCTTTGCTAATCAACTAGAAGTGGAAAATTCCAAGAATAAATAGATTAGCTTTCTTACACAATTCGATTACACCGGATCTTAATTGTATGCATAAATTTATCTTCTGGAACTTCATTATAATCCATCAAGATAGGAAAAAAAAAGAAGAAAAGAAATGCATAAAATGCATATGGATTGAATTTTCACAGCAACAGAAAACATGCTCATATATTCAAGGATCTTGTTACTAGGAAAGGAAAGTAATTAAGAGTAGACGATCGGCTATAGCGGTGTACAAGCAGAGATTTGATAAATTTCTCTCTAGCTACTAGTAACTCCAGTTGATTAGCCGGAGTTCATTTTATTAGTGTTAAGGCTTCGATGCATTTTATTACTTAGTATTAAGGCTCCCATGCATGCAATGCACATCATTAAGTTCAAACTAGTAAGGACGTTGGCCTATATAGTTGCCGGGAGGATCGTAGCTGCAAATGACGAACCACCAAGAATTGGTGCACTGAACCCGAGGCGGACGGAATCGCGCCACACCACCTGGGTGTAATGCAGGCACTGTCCACCAACGCAGGAGTTGGAAGTGTAGTTATAGTATGGCTTCTCGGCCACCCACAAGTTTGCTGCGGCAGTGCCGGTGAAAGTACCGGTGCCCTTGGCAAGATTTTCACCGTAAGGGCCTTGCGAATGCACGAGATTGCAATCACTAATCCTTTGGTTGGCGTAGTTTTGTGCATATGCAGCAACTGTTGTGTCCCATGTCATCGGCCCGACGCCCACTTGACTGCGGGCGGAGTTGTGGACATTGAGGTAGTCCTGCGGTGAGTTTTGGGCATGGGTGGGGAGAACACGAGCAAGAAATGCTGAGCTCAAGAAACAAAGAAGGGATAATGAGATTCTGCACGATTCCATCGTTGATTTGCTTTGATCATTACTGGGACTTGAAATTGATTGGATGTGGGAAGATGAACGTTTAATGGACTTTTTATAGGCGAGTCTAGGCTTATCAACATTCATGAAATTACCAACTGGGGTTGGGCCAAGTGGTAAGCAGCTTGGTTCCGCTTAAGCAGGTCTCGGGTTCGAAACCTGGCGTATGCAGCTATCCTTGTTGGGAGACTCACCCACCACAGCCAGGTGTGCGACCCGGGTCGACCAACAGATTAGTCAGGGCAAAGCCCTGGATACCGTGGCAGGCAACCAAAAAAAAAAAAACATTCATGAAATTTGTGAATGCCATGTGCAAAAAAGTGCATTCGTTCGCCTCTATAAGCAATCCCCAAGTCACCTGAACGTAGGCATCTATGAACTAAGTGTTAGAATATTTCCCAGTGTGGCACTTTAGGATAAATCGAGAAAACTTGCCTGTTCAATTAATCTACCGAAAGAAGAAACTGCTTGTTGCTTAAGTCATGGATTGGATGGAATGAATGTCGATTTACAATGTAGATGTGTAAAATTAGTTAGTAGTTCAATGCACATTACATGTCAATATTGAGTAGCAATGGTATAAACATTTCCATGAAATTTATGGATTTCTTGGAACATATAATTTAGATATTCCACTCCTTTTATGGTGCCGATTTTTTTTTAAATAAAAAGCTATTCCGTTCCTTTAATGGTGCCCAAATTTTTTTTAAAAAAAAGAGAAAAAAGCTATATCACACCTTTTATAGTGCCAAAAAAAAGACATGGTTTTTTTTTTTTTTTTTTGTCACAAGTCATTCCTAATCAAAAATTGTGGGGGGGGGGGGGAATAAATTTGGTGAAAATTCATTAGTTCAAGTTGAAATACTTTCATATTTCAAGAATAATATAGATTGCTTAAGAGGATTGTACCTGTAGAAATTTTGGCATACTGCTCATATTGACAAGATGCGTCTTGTGATAAGAAAATTAGCATGCTTTCTCTTTCTGCTTTATGGGAATCTTGTATTTGATTGTTTCTCAGTGTGTATTTGTAGGAACTGGAAATGTTACACAATGTTGAATTATGAATTTCCTTATCAAAGCTTGGATGGATGTCATATATGTGTTCTTACGAATTATTGCAAACACTCTCTTGAAGCGATCCTAAAGTTTCATCTTGTCAAAAGTGCGGTTCCATCCCTGAAATAGAGGGTGTGATATTAACCGGGCGAAGTTTCGCAATTTCCCGGTGTTCGCAAGGAAAAGAAAAGAAAGAACAAGTGGAAGTCAATGTATTAAATTGTGAAAATACTGTTAAGAATTGTAATTTGACCGCATTCATTCTTCTTCTGTTTTATTTTATTTTTGATACGATTACAACTAAGTCACAGTGGTAGAATCAATACAAATTGACTTACAATTAAATTTTAATGTCTCAATCTTGATCATAATCATGAGACCAAATCCTCATCCTTGCATTCATTATGCTAGCCTGCTGAAATGTTTGATGAATGACTGGTCTTAGGAGTACGATCGAGTGGACATCTCTGACTTATCTCTCTAACATTAGCAATTAATAAATCAGACCAGCCAGGCCTTTATAATTATTAGGCTTCCACACTAACTTATGAACAACAAATCTTGATCCTTACGTTATTTATTTCTGATGATTTACTGAAACTACGTAGTCCAAAGCTCGATGGTAAGGACGTTCTCCTACATAGTTGCCAGTAGGATCGTAGTTGCAGATGACGAACCACCATAATTTGTTGAGGCATTGAACCCGAGCACACCCTACTCGGACCGAATCCCGCCACACCACCTGCGTGTAATGCAAACACTCTCGTCCTCCCACGCACGCGTCCTGGTGATAATCGTAGTAAGGCTTCTCCGCAACCCACAAGCTGGCTGCTTCAGCACCGCTGAAGTTTCCATATCCCTTTGCAAGATTCTCTCCATAGTCCGTGTTCGAATGTATAAGATTGCAGTCACCTTTTCTTTGATTGGCATAGTTTAGGGCGTATGCAGCAACTGTGTTGTCCCAGGTCATTGGCCCGACTCCCACTTTACTGCGGGCGGCGTTGTGAACGTTAAGGCAGTCCTGTGGTGAGTTTTGGCCATGGGATGGAAGAATAACAAGAAAAGCTGAGCTCAAGAAACAAAGAAGAGATAGCGAGATTGATAATATGTTAGCTGTCATGGCGGCTTTCAGATGGATGGTCTATGAAAACAGATGGATTTAGATTGTTTGGGCAATTTTTTTGGTGGGGGCGGGGGGCAAGAGATTGCATATCAGTGTCTAGAGATTACCTGATTGCCATGAGCAAGAGGCGTAGCATAGATTTTGCCACATTGTAAGTAACTAATTTGCAAGTAATCCTAAAGTCAAATTAGCACCGGCCGTAATGTTGAGCAGTGTTTAAATAATTAACAGTGGCACTTTTATATTAATTGACATATATAGAAGACTTGCATATATATTATCCCTAGCTACCAAAAACAAGAAATCACGTGCTGCTTAAGTCAAGGATTAGGGTAGAGTTCATCTAGATTTACTACATACATGACTACCCAGTCGGATGCACTTTTCCTTGTATTAAGATTGGGCTCAAGAAACCCTTTTTCTTGCAGCTTCCCAGCTCTATCTTCCAGGCCAGTGTTTTGAACTGAACATTCTACAGCACATTTAGAACTGGTGTGATTGGTTTAGTTATATATGTTTCCCTAATCCCTACTATTAATTCTTTTCTATTTGGTTAAAGTTGCAAATATTAACACGCCTTTATGATATTCAGAAAAGACCACATTCAAGGAGATAAATAGTAAATTTGGCATAACACCCACCAAAATATCGTAACTGAACTTCTTTCACAATACAAACAAATCACTAGGAATTGAGTCTGAATTTCAAGATCTAATTTAATTAACGCTCTATGCTTTCAACATGGTTAAGCAAAATTTGTGCAAAAAGTATGCAAAAGACTTCACCAATTAGAGGGAAAAAATTACATTCCAAATTAAATCAATTAGTTCAAATCATTTGAAACGGGGTTAATTAGTCACTTATTTTTGTTCATGAAATTTTATTAAATATGATAATTGACACAATTCACTCATTAGAGGAAAGAAATTACATTTGATCAGGTTCAAAAAATATTAGGCAGCTAAATGGTATTATAATTTATATATGGATTAATTACATTTTCCTCCCTTGAGGTTTAGCCAAATTACGAATCAAACCTTAAAATTTGGCCACATAACAAAACAACCCTTGAAAACCATAAAGTAACAAAAGATTCCCTCTCGTTATTCAACAAATGTTGACCACTTCATTCCAGCACTGTCAACAGAAAACAAGAACCTAAATGCCCAGTATTCCCTTTACCTCTAACCTTTCTACCAATCTTCTTCTTCCTTCTCCAGAGCAAAACACTTGCAACACCACCGACTCTATTTTTGCTGCCATCAACAACTATCATGTTCTTTCTTTTCACATTCAACCCCCAATTTACTACAATTCTATACGAATTTTCCAGGCTAGATTGTATTTTACAACCCATCAACAAATTACTTCCAATTTCCATACAAGCTCAAAGTCAACTTATAGCCTTAGATTCCAAAATACAGGGAAAAAAAATAAAAATTCAAATGAGTTAGATCTTGCTACGAACTTTGCTAAATCTAAATTGTGAGCATCAATGTGATTAACCCAGTCATAGCATGTCAAATCCGTAGAATTTCAATAACCAATGTGTGAATATCTGCCCGTTTGTCAATGGGTTTGATAAGGTATGGATTTGTTTCCAGTTTTTCTCATGAGTTGGTTGGGCATGTGACTCCATAGGACGAGTGAGTGTTAATTAAACAAATAACGAGCATGGAGAAAAGATGAGGGATGTGGTGGTGCATTAAGGGTCCGTTTGTTTCGATATAAAATATTTTTCATGAGAAAATATTTTTAGTGAAAGACATTTTCCATGAAAATATTTTGATATTTCATGATTTTTTTATGTTTGGTTAACTTTTAAAATATCATTTTGACAGAATATCTACAAGTACTCTAACTTGTTTATTATTTTTAAAGACATAAACTGATTCTTTCCCAAACTAGAAAGCAAGGTCCCATATAAGAATATGTAGTAGTGATACGAAATCGATAGTTTGGGATGTTAAATTCATAACTCATGGTAAGTGGGGAAAATAACTTTAGAAGATCTATTGCGTAAGTTGTTTTCCACTGGAGGATGTAAATCATTTTCCTGAAGAAAAGGTTTTCAATGGACTAATTGCATCCAAACACTGGAAAATTCATAAAGATTTTCCAGAAAATATTTTACACCGAGATAAATGGACCCTAAGTGAATTTACAGAAGTTGGGAAAAAGGCAAAAATTTAGAGATTGATCGAATATGAGTTTGAGAAATAGTACAATGAATGGAAGGTGGTCGTTACTCTTGGTCGATAGTAGGTGAGAATCTGAAGACAATGGTCTGGCCTCTTCTTTGAACATCCTTTTTTTTTTTTTTTTCTCGAGGATATTAGTTTTCTTTAGTGTTCTTATTGTTATTTTCTTTTTATATGGAACTTTTTGGATCTTTTCTTTCTAGTTTCTATGCTCGTTGAGAAAGAAAAATATTTTTATTTATCTCTTAGAACCATTTTTACGTTATACTTGAGCATTTTTGCCTTGACTACTGCTGTCATTATATTTCTAGTTAGATGGTATTTTTGTCATTTTATTTCTTCCGTCCATTGAGTTCGGATGGCATCACTAATAGGGGGCTAGATGTTATTTCACCAAACTTCAAGGTTTGTTTCGTATTTTGGCTAAACCACAAGAGAGGTAAATGTAATTAACCCTTTATATATATCCAGCTCATCGTTTGTATTCAAGATAGGTACAAACTACACATGGAAGGAAGCAAGGGAAACACGCATCTTTAGATAGCAATCCATTCTTTTCCATATTGCTTTCGTATTCCTGGATAAGAACCTCCTTTTTGACAAGTCCGTCATTGGATAAATTTTGATCTGGTCAATAGATTGGGCTAAAACTTGATTAATATTGAAAGCTCCATTCATATTTTCCCTATAAACATGGCCCGACTCTCACGCTGATTTCTCCAGTGCCTCACAAATTTTAATTAGTAGATCCGGTCTACTTCAGCTGCTAGAAATATTTTTTGAATTTTTGATGAGTTATTGTATTGAGACAACTGACCATTTTTACTTCACAATAATCCAGGCTGAGTACGGTAATATAATTATAAGGTGTTTGACGCCTAATTTTCTTGGCATAATTTTCAATTTTAGGCTTGGAAGTATTTCAAATGTAAGGGCTACTTTCTTGTCCTAGCTCTATATTTGTTTATATCTCACTAAGCATAATGACTTTATTGCACGACACGACTTAGGCCCTGTTTGATAACCCGATTCAACACTTAAATTTAATGTATTCAGATTTTAATATATTCAGACCGTTTGATAACAAAAAATTAAATATTTGAATTAAGTAAGTGGCACTGAATTTTTTAAGCAAAATTTGCTCCTAAAATTAAGTGATAAACTATTCACTTTTCACTGAATGCATTATGCACTCAAATGTATTAGATTTAATATTTAACAATTCAATAACTTAATGGATTCAGATTTCAGATTTCAGATTTTAGATTTCAATTTTATCAAAAGCACCCTTACTTTACTAAACAGTATTTATGGGTGTTACTCTTTGTTTAGTGCATAGAAGTGCATACTTTGGTCCCTCCTAGGCTCGCATTTGCTCAATAATTGTGAAAGAGGAATCAAGATTTGGATTTATGAATAATGACTTTTCTTATCCAAAGAGAAGTATTACGTGCAATGGTCAACGCATGGATAACTGCATCTAGGATAAAAATTTCAACGAGAGAAATTTTCTTCCAAGAATCGAAGACTGGAGTTAAGATTGTGCAGCAGTAGAGCTTTTGCTACACAAGTGAGTGTTACGCTCCTGTTATACTTTTCAAGTTAGTGCAAGTCTTCCAATTTTATTGGGTTGATGCAAACTACAAATGGTATACAAGTTACACAAAATATTAGTTTGCATCACTTTAGTGAAAACGCGCACCTAACATTATAAGATACACATGAAGGGTATAACACAAAAATAGGATTCGGAGCCTGATTGAGCTCTAACCACTCATCCTTTATAGAAAGATTGTGGAAAATCGACTTTTTAAGTCTTCAGGGACCTCTTTTTACCATTTCCCTTGATTCCCCCTTAATGTGTAGACTTGTAGTCTTTCGTTTAACATGAACTTAAAACCAAAAATTGAATGTTAGGAATCCGTGTTTTGTGCCGATCTGTGCCCCATCAATTCTTAATCTGGAGTTGTCATGGATTGAGGGCCAGTTTTCCTTCCTTTTTCCAGGTCTCAACTAAGCATAATTAACCGGCCTAACTTTCGTCCTAAGATACATTCAATTAAGCCCTTTTTTGGTTTATGGTTGTTTCTTTCTTTCGCTTTCTTCCACGGTCCTCCCTAACATATCGAGTTCAATTATTCATTAATTATATAGAGATTTGAGTTGTAGCCCTTCATCTTTATTACTCCACCGGCGGCATGCATGTTATCGAAGTCCGGCCGTCTGGATGTTCACATTCAAGTTTAAGTGAAGAATTATCACTTAAGACAAGGGGTATGCGAGGACTAAGCACTGAGAAAGACAAAGATAATATGTGTCACCAGACAAACATAAACAACAAGTATTGCAAAATGTCACCTTATTTCATTCTCTTTCCAAAGCTAAAGCTTGAAAGAGTATACGTCTCATAATCATTAAGCAAGGCTTTAAAATATATGTCCCTGCTAATAAGGACGCTGACCAACATAGTTGCCAGGGGGATCATAACTGCAAATCACGAACCACCAACCGTTATTTGTGCATTGAACCCTAGCACAGCCCAGACGGACCGAGTCGCGCCAAACCACCTGAGTGTAGTGCCCGCACTGCTGCCCTTGAGCACATGTGTTGGAGTTGTAATCGTAGTATTGCTTCTCACTTACCCACAGATTGACGGCATCCGTGCCCGTTAAGTCTCCGCTGCCTTCAGCTAAGTTCTCACCGTAACGGCCGCCAGAGTGCACCAGATTGCAGTCGTTTATCCTCTGATTGGCGTAGTTTTGTGCATAGGCAGCCACCGTGTCGTCCCAAGCTAGC